GTGACACGACTATTTTAATGTAGGTTAATTATCAATGTATCTGTTTCTTGTTTATTAACCTTTAAGGCCTATAATAACTTACTGAATATTAACCTTCTCTGTAAAAAAATATGTTTGGTTCCCTTAAAGGGAAATTCCACCGATTTCTCAAAATTCAGTGTGTGAGATGTAAACAGAGAGATTCAGAGTGGTTTGGTGTGAAATGGTTCGGATTTCTTTACAGTGGTGGTGATAGGAACCAGGGGTCGCCATGACTACAACACAAATATAGACATTTTATTTACTGTCCAGAACCACCAGTGAACCGACACGAGTCTTCTGAGTTGTTATACGTACAGTCATAGGCAAAAATTCTAAGTGAAAAAAGTGAACATGTACACGTACAGAGAACACACTTTTGCACATTTTAATGCACAATTACTGTTTATTTGCAGAACTTTGATATATTGGGGGTAAAATAAAAAAAATGTGCCTTTTTTTATGTTTTATTTTTTTCCCCAATATGTAAATCAGCAGATAAACCATATTTAAGTGTGTTCACTGTAGAGGATGTATTGATATATTTGTACTTAGAAAATTCACAAAATATTTCATTTGATATCCAAACTTTTGCAAACAAAAACGCTGAGCGTGGTAAAATAGTGGTAAATCTGAAAAAAAAGTATTCTTTTTAAATGTTATTTTGCCTTGTAATGCCCTGCATGTACCTCTCTGCCATGAATAGAGTTTAAAAAATTAGTGCTTTTACATGCACTCAATAATCCAATCATAATCAGATTTCTGCAGTTATCTGATTATTCAAATGGTTGTGTAAACAGCACACCACACTCTGAATCCTTAGATCAGAGTAAGGTCTAGATATCCGGTTAAGAAATCTGATAAAGAGGCTGGATTTTAGCTCAGTAATCAGATTTCTCAGTGCATGTAAACTCTTACTCTGATTTCGTTCAGATTTCTCAGTCTGAGCATGAGTGAAAACAGACTGCGGTATCGGAAATAAGCGAGCAAATACAGCAAAAACCAAATACATGCTTGACGAAATGAATGATTTAAATATTCTTCATCTTCTAGATGATGTTTGTTCATATTTTCAGGTAAAGTGGGTCGATGTTTAAAAACAAGCCGCGACATGAAGTTTGAGTTTTACGTTGCGTTTACGTCGCGTCTTCTTCTGTGAGTCTATTGGCTGGTTGTAAAGCAGAAATCTGATTACTGTCTGACTCATGTAGACCTGTTTCCCCATTATCTAATTACTCAAGAGCATGTAAACACGTTGGTCTGATTACTGACAAAATCTGATTTTCTGCAGTTATCAGATTATTAAGTGCATGTAAACACACTCATTGATTTAGGCCAAAACTTAATCTTAAAACTGTAAGGCCTGTATTTGGTTTCACTGTAGCAGGGTCCACCAACATGACTGATCTTGTACAACAGAGCTTCACCATCCAACAGCATGTGAAAGATTTCTCAGGCTAAGGGGGGTAATTGCAATAATAGCCTCAGATAGATTTCTTTAATTATATTATTTGTTGGCTTTGGCACTGAAGCGCAACCCCTGCAGGTGTTCGAGTTCATTGAACATGGCAGATTTAAACCAAGCTGAATCGTCACTCTGCTCTTTGTTTCAGAAGCCCATTGTCTGAGACCGTTTATGACGGTACATGTCCGTCCACTTGCTATTTAGCCGCACCAGTGGTTGTTCATTTCAGTGAAGAGCTCTGCCGGTTGTGGCATGTTGAAAACATTCAGCAGAAATCCACTATATGCAAATGAGTTCATCCATCTTGTGGTTAGATAAGCTGGATGTTCTCTAAAGGTAAAGAGGGGAAACTTCTTCTTTTTCTCCTTTACGTTACGAAATTTTAACAAAATAATGAAAATATGTGGTTTTATACATATTGGAGGGAAAGCATTTGAATGTTTGTAATTTACATCGTATGAATGGGAGGCAAATTTTAAATAATATAAAGCTTGTCGCTAAGCTAAATGCTAGCTTGTGTGGACAAATGGTACAAGTTAAGAAAAATACAGAAGCAGCAAAAACACAAGTCTGTTTTATTATGAAGAACCGTACGCTATTAGACCGCCCCCTTGTGGATTTCAGCTTGCCCACGGAAATGTAATTGTTTTTCTTGATTTTTGTTGTTGCAATAATGCTTGTTTTTGCTAGCACCTCTACTGGAATCACTATATAATGTTAGCAACAAGCTAACCCAGATGTACGTCACATTGCCCTACTGGATTTCAGATAAGCTAACATATAGCCGACTGATTAGTTTTATAAGCTCAAATGTCCTCATTTATGTAAATCTGTTGTAAACAGTGTTTTCCTTTCTTTCTTCTCTTTGCCGAGTTGAACAGCTGCCCATCCTGTGCGTCTGATGCTGCCTCTTCTGCCTTGATCGGGTGCCACTGCTGCCAGCCCTCTGGACCGGCTTGACCACCGTTTAGCTTCATGCTGTACCACGTCGTGCAAACCTCACCCTCACAACCTGACCCCACTGATGCTGCTGCTGCTGCATAAACTAAACTAATCAGATTAATCATTGCTCCACCTGTTTTTCCCATTTGCTATCCGGTGTTGACCAGTTTGCTATCCGGTGTCGACCAGAGGAGGATGGGTTCCCCTTCTGAGTCTTGGTTCCTCTCAAGGTTTCTTCCTGTTTCTCTTGGGAGTTTTTCCTTGCCACTGTCGCCACTGGCGACGCTCATGGGGGCTCGGACCCGGATTTCTTTCTGTAATGCTGATTTTGTTTTGTTTTGTGACAACACCTGTAAAAAGCGCTGTATAAATAAACTTTGCTTGCTTGCTTAAATCCAGTAGGGCAATGTGACAGTACATCTGGGTTAGCTTGTTGCTAACATTATATAGTGATTCCAGTAGAGATGCTAGCAAAACTAGCATTATTGCAACAACAAAAATCAGACAAAGCAATTACATTTCCGTATATATATATATATATATTTCTTGCTGTTGTCAGACCAAAACCTCATACTTTACTTCGAATGTAAGTCAATGGAACCAGAATTTTTTCCAAGTCATTTTGAGTTGTTTCGTTTGGTTTATTCATCACACAATATAAGGAACAACCGGCATTTTCAAACTATGTCAAAAACTGAAAAATGACACAAATGGAGATTTGAGGTTTTGTTCCGACAGCAGCGATATATTACATATATACATATATATATATATATATATATATATATATATATATATATATATATATATATACACACTCTAACAACATATGTATGTATATAGGCGCCCCTTGTGGAGAATTTTAAGCCTGCTAAATGTGAGTGAGTGAATTGATAATTAGGTGCTTTGCATCTAAATTTGAGAAACAGCAAACAGCCCATCAGACTGTTTACTTCCCCAAATATGCATAATATGTTTCCTCTTCTTTCCCTTCATTTCCACAACAAAACACCCAGAAACACCCACCAGCTGTGAGCAGAGTGGTCCGGTGCAGCGCAAGGGGGCAAAAAAAAGTGCAAGTAGACACGAACCGTAAGACATTTAACTGAATTTGCGCAGCTAAAGTGTAAATTAATGTGACCAATTCAGTCCAGTTCGAAGTTATTTGTGTCCTACTCCTTTCCAACAGCCATTGTCCCAAAGCTGCCTGTCCAGAAATGCGAGTGCGGCCCCCTAACAAGTGTCGCCGAGGGAGACAATGGCAGGAAAACCTCCCTAAGAACATGAGAAAGAAACACTGAGAGGAACCGAGACTCAAAAGGAGAACCCAACCTCCTCTGAGCCACACCGGATAGTGCAGTTAGGATAAAAGGAAGATTAAACAGAGGCCTGAGAGACAAAACAGTGACACTACACTGAATCAGACTTGGCTATCAATCCAAAATGGGTATTAATAGAGAAGCTGTCTCGCTTTTGCTGCAGTAACAGCCTTTACATAAGATTACACTAGATGTTGGAACATTTCTGTGAGGATTTGATGGAGCTGTGTGTAAACTGAACGCATGTATCAGCAATGTCTGCACCTTGAAGTAGCTGAATTCTCTAACTAAGGGTTGTCTGGATACTTTCGGACATAAATTGGACATATATTGACATTGATCTATCCAGGCTCCGCCCACAGATATGTCCTTTTATATCTGTTGTCATGAAGTTGAACAAGCTTTAACGTCCCGTCAACATTTCTCACTGCCCGCCTGCTCGGATATGTCCTCATCCTCCTAACTAGCTTTTTTTCCCACCTGCTGTTCGTGCCACTGTTGTCCGTCTTCGCAAAATTCACGTATGAAAATTGTGCATACAGTAATAAACTCAGTGGTGTCTGTTGTGCTAGCCAGCACCACAGCATCACGCTTAATTTGATAATCTCTCAAGGCTTATGTTAGCTTCACATTGGAATTTTCCATTCCACCTTAAATAGGGCAGCCATTACAAGGGCACGAACAGGTGACTGAAAGTAGGGGCTACATCATTTAAGGTGGAAGAGAAAATAAGAATAAGAAACTAATTTCAGCTCTGTGTAATCTCTATACATGGTACAAACCAATACTGTGCTACGTGAGGTGGGAGGCTGCTGTTTTAACCCTTAAAGCAGCCCAAAACACTACCAGCCCACTGGGAATTCTCTCGACTCTCCCGGTTACCCACTCCAGCATTGCTTCAGGCTCAGTCCACCTTCCTGTAAAGCTTTATGAATTTCAAGAGATATTTATTTGGTCCAACCTCGCAACCGTAACCAGGAACCGATGCATAAGGTGGAGCACGGAGGCCAATTGAACTGAACTGAATTGAATTGTCTGTTTGCAGCAGTCATGGGCAAACCTAGAGGACCACCCTGGGCTATTAGCCATATTTTCCCGCAAACAGAAAGCGGCAGGCAGGTAGTCGCATGTCAGGGGCCCATTAGCTGCTTAAATTGCTCGGGACGGGCTGTCATGAGACTGAATTGTTGTTTGTCGTGGATGTCTTAGCGGAGCGAACAGGCTAGGCCACATTCTCCACCATCCCGGAGAGGGAACAGCCTTTTTTCAGGACAGGGTGGGTCTCTGTGAGACCAGGAGCAGTGTCGCAGAATTTCATCTTGGGATGCATGAGCAGCGCTGGAGAGAGATAGATCGACAAACAGATTGACAGATTAGATAGAGGGAGAGGCACAAGAGGGCGTGTTCTGGTAAGTGTCTCAATCTGGCAAGGCCCGCTTTCCTTTTTTTGTGTGTCAGTGTCCCTCTAACCTTTATTGCTGCGTGTTGGTGGGTGTGTGTGCGTCTTGCAGGTATAATACCTGGTGGATCAGTGCCGAGGTAGAATAAATATTGTGCACTTTTCAGCCTGTGCCAATGCAAACATGACGCTGATCGGTAGCATTAGAGCTCCTGACAACTGCGTTGCTTTGTTTTCCTCCATAGTCAGCCAGTCATGTAATTATATTGCAGCGAAAGACAATCGGGCACTTCACACGGCTTTAGGACTTGATAACATATTGTTACAGCGAAAGTGAATTCACGTCACTGACTTTGTTTCAGTCATGTTTTCTTGCTGTAATTGTATGTTAGGTGTCAACAAGAAAAATGTTCTGTGAGAAACTTTTCAGAACTTTGGTCCGCTCTCCTGACCTTATTCTCAAAAACGTGTTCTATAATACAAGACTAAAAACAGTAAAGGTAAAGCCAAACAGTAGAAATAAAGCCAAACAGTAGAAATAAAGCCAAACAGTAGAAGTAAAGCCAAAAAAAGAAGTGACGTGTAGCATAGCAGCTAAAACCACAGTCGCATTCCAATATCAAATGTCACTAGCATATAAGTTAACACCACTAAAACCAGTAGGAACCAACAACTAGATATTATCGCTACAAAACCTGAACTGATATATGTTAGAACGCTACTCAGTGATCACAAAAATAGCTTAGCCACAGCTTTACAAATAACATTAAAGTAAAAATAACAACAACATCATAAACAAATATTATTAAGGGGCATTCAAGCCCCAAACTAGAGCTTAATATGGTATTTGTTATGCTAGTACAGTATTCTGTAGCATTATATCTCTCAATATATTTCTATATTTGAAAGAATTCACAATTTTATATCATTTTCAGGGAGGCACGGTGGCACAGTGGGTAGCGCTGTTGCCTCACAGCAAGAATGGCCTGGGTTCAATTCCCGGCCGGGTGACCAGGGACATTTCTGTGTGGAGTTTGCCTGTTCTCCCCGTGTCTGTGTGGGTTTCCTCTGGGTACTCCGGTTTCCTCCCACAGTCCAAAAACATGCAATCAGGCTGATTGGACATGCTAAATTGCCCCTAGGTGTGAATGTGTATGTCTGTCTGTCTGCCCTGCGATGGACTGGCGACCTGTCCAGGGTGTATCCTGCCTTCCGCCCAATGACAGCTGGGATATGCTCCAGCACCCCACTGCGACCCAGAAGGATAAGCGGTTTAGATGATGGATGGATATCATTTTCATATTGTTGTTCTCACTACAATACCCAGCATGCATTACATAAATACAGCATACAACTGCTGGAAATCCCTGTGGTGTCTATTAATCATAGATATACATTTCTAGATGCCGCGTTGTCTGTTGTTCTCTATCTGAGGCTATACGTCTGAGCGTCCGCCATGTTGGAGAGGTCAAGATCCGCTTGTGAACAAATTCACTTGTACTGAGAGACGAAGAGTCTCAGGATTAAATCAGCCACAACTTCCTTATTACTCAACCGATTTTCACCAAATCTGTTTAGTTATAATCCTCAGACACAGATTAATCCAGGCTGCACGGATCTGCTCTCGGTAGCTTTTATTACTTTAATAACTGATCGGGCTAATTAGCTGTCCAGACCAGCAGGAAAGTATTCAGTCTGAACCTGACGATAAAAACTGAGTTTATCGTGAAACATAATCACACACACATCAGCAGATCCATCAATGAGTGAATCACTTCTAATCTTAAAACGCATAGAAATAAAATAAACCCCCAAAACACAGTAAGAAGGACGAAGCTGAAGTTGGGCTTCCTATTCACCAGCTTCTTGTTCAAGTTTTCCGTTCCACCTTAAATGGTGCAGCAGTCACTTTCTGGTGCCTGAAGCTGCACCATTTAAGGTGGAACAGGAAAATTCAAACAAGAAGCTGGCGAGTAAGAAGCTACTTCAGCTTCGTGTAAGAAGGTCTAACGTTAATCTGTTATGAACATCTACATGGATTAAGGAATGCTGTAACTTACCAAGCTACAAAGCTTTAAGCATCACTGTAAATAAATAACTACTACATAAAGTTAAGATCCTGAATAGACTATTAAATGAAACAAGCTTCATATAAAACCAGAGGAAAAACAATCACATCAACAGGTTCTCTGGGCTTCACCAACCACACGACCATATCTATACAAACATCACACAAACAATACACATCACACAGACATGAGTGTGGATCACTGCGTTCCCTCCGTTACATAATCCTGTCCCACTTTCTGAGTCAATATTCTTGAAATAGTGTAATTTTGGATAGTATCTTTCTTAAACCGCTGCTCTGTAATGATACTGCACAGATTATTGCAGTTAAAATTGCAGAAAAATATGTTTTTTTGTCTTCAAAATATGTCCTCAGCCTTTACACATAACTGTGGGGATGAGCTCTTCTGTGGTGCTTGGAATTCTAGATAATTGATTTAAAATCCAGTATTGTTAAATTGATGGATCAAGAAGGTGTAATTGTTAAAATAACATTGTTTTATTTTAAAATATAAATAAATTGTAACCCTAACGTGGTTTTTAACTGTAATATATCTGTAAACGCTAGGGACACAGAAATGGACGTTTCTGTAGAATGACCCCTAGAATGACTCCTTATAACTTCATTGTGAATGGTGGGGCTCACCTGCCGCCGGCTGATTAGTGTGTAGATGTGTAAGTTTGTTTGTTCTTGTGACATCACAAAAACAGTGAATTCATAACAGGCCTGTTTGTGTGGTTTAATTTCCTTATGTGGACTGTATGGACCTGCATGAGCAGTACATCCTTTAACTGTAACAATGTTAATATGCTATATCAAACTATTCTATTTAAAAAAGCAAAGATGGGCCCTTTAAGATTAGTAAGTGAATAATAAGCCCAGTGTTTGAAGGGTTAAAGGGTTAGAGGTGGATTTTGAAGCATGCTGTGTTTTTCTCACGGTGCCCTGAAGGCCTGCATGTTCTTGCGCCTCCATTCTGCACCCAAAGAAGCAGTGAATTTATTGAAAATATAATTATGAGATACTGTATGACATTGCTCATAAAATTATTCACACTGATTATTGGATTACAGAGTGCTTGCGCACACACACAGTCATACACACAGTACCAGAGGCTGTAAAACACGTACAGTGACACCATCTAATTACAGCACAGTCACAGCACAGTCATAGGTTGTATCCTTGTATACAGTCAGTCACTGAGAGCTGGACTTTGACCTTGTTGAGTCACTGCTTTGAGTGTGTGTGTGTGTGTGTGTGTGTGTGTGTGTGAGTGCATGCTTGTGCGTGTTTGCACCCACCAGCACATAATGATAATAATGACTATAATAACTATAATACTTATAATACTAATACTACTACTAGCACTACTACTACTAATTATAATAAAAAAATAATAATAAAAAAAAATAATAATAATAATCAGTGGAGAGCCTATAAAGCTAGGCCTTAAGTTTAACCATATACACCTAAAACAAGGAAAGAACACCTGCACGATTTCTGCTAATTTCTGTTAGCAACCCTATTAGTATGTATAACAACTACCTGGAACACTACTTAGATCATGACTCATGACACATGATGTCAGTGATGTATCTAGAACTTCCAGAAGGACTAGAGTGATGTTTTTGGTCATTGGTCATCCACTGAAAATAAACCATGTTTGGTTGATTCCTCTGTCACTTCCTAATTATGTTGGTAGTAAGTCTAATTTGTAAGGCCTTCAGTCCAGCTTCTGAAGCCCTAACCAATGGGAGAGCTCGCTTGGCTGTATCTACTTAAATACCACTGAGTAAACAATCCTGATTGGATAATCTTCTGTTGATTGTATTAAGACTTCAAAGCTTTTGTTTCACAATTCACAACAAGCATGATATGTACAGTATATAAAATTGTGATAAAATTGTAAACCTGTATTTTCTAGTTCCCAGAGGATTCCTAATTGGTAATAACAAGACGAATAAAAATAAAAATGACGTTTATATGTCTAAAGACTCAAAGTTGATTTACGATAGCCAAAAACCACAAACACACACATACAGTTGTATCAGTTGTATGCAAATGTTTCTGCGGCCTTGATTAAATTACCTGTTTTTGTTGAAGTGAAAATAAGTGAACATTGCGTAATATCATAAAAAGATTCCCTAGAAATCTCCGTAACAGAATGCTTATGACTGTCCATCCACATTAAAAAACCAAGATGCTGCTGTGATGTATTCCACCACAGAAGCTCGAGAATACTTGTCAATAGACATGCATCAGAAACGCCGCCGACTTCTCTGGGCTCAAGCTCATCTGAAATGAGTGTATTGTGGTCTGGCAAGTTAACCTTTCAGATTGTTTATGGAAATAACATTGTGTTCTCTGGGCCAAAGAAGAAAAGCACCATCCAGACTGTTAACAGCATCAAGTTTAAAAGCCAGGGTCTGCCAAAAAACAACAACAAAGGCCCTGTATTATACAGCTGTAGACTTGATAATGAAAGAATGGCCAAAACCTCCACTTTCAAAACTGGATCAAAAAAAAATCAATAAGGTAAAACATCAAATATGTGTTTTTGTAGTGTTTTAATTCAATACAGGTCAAACAGTTCACACTTTACTAATCACTGTTTTTGGTTTTTATTAGCATTTCATGCACTGTGATGTTTATATAATACTTTGCTTAAAAAGTCATAAAGGTTGTTTTATAGTAGGCAAAAAAACACATTGTCTTTTATCTCTATGTGTGTGTGTGTGTGTGTGTGTGTGTGTGTGTGTGTGTGTGGCTGTGTGTGCGTGTGTGTGTGTGTGCGTGTGTGGCTGTGTGTGAATTCTGCTGTATAATCCCGGATCACTGAGTACAATAGCATGAGTTAAACTCGTGATGTAAACTACGTAGGTGCCTGCTCTCCTGACCACAAAGGATTTTTGGCTCTCTGTCACTGACCAGCACCAGCGATCTGACCAGCGGACTCGCTCTGGCCTCCAGGACCCGAGAGAGACCTGCTGTAACTCGTCCCACCTGCACTCCAGCCATATCCCTCCACGAGATTTCTTCATGTTCTCCAGCTAAACATTTGCTAAGTAAACAGGTCAGTGAGCCGGAGCTGGGAGTGGCCTGGACAGGGGTGCGTCCAGCGCTGAGTCAGAATGTGACCAATGTGTTTTGGGTTTTGTGGTGCACAGGGGGCCCTATGGAGGACCGAGAGGAGCCACAGGAGGCCCTGAGGGGTCTGAACGACCGGCTGAGGGGCTTCCTGCAGCATGTGGCGCAGCTGCAGCGCGACAACCAGATGCTGCAGGAGAGGATAGTGGAGTTTGGACGCAGAAGTGGTCAGCATGAGCAGGAGTGGAGCGCGAGGGAGAGGACAGTGGGGCAGCTACGGGAGCAGGTGGGAGTGACCACACACACACACACATTTACACACACATATACACATATATCGCTGCTGTCAGACCAAAACCTTGGATCTCCAAAAATGGTAACTTTACAGGAGAAGGAAAAAACATACTTTACTTTTAATGTAAGTCAATGGAACCAGACGTCTTTCCAAGTCATTTTGGGTCATTTGTTTTGGTCCATTCATGATGAAATTTACACACAATATAAAGGACAGTAGGTTTTTTCAAATTATGTCAAAAACTGAAAAACATGGTTTTGGTCCGAAAGCAGCGATATGTGAAAAAGTCAGAGAGCACCCTTCATTTTTTTCCCAGTCAAAACAACCATTAAGTACAATTTATTCATTTTTCAGGAGATAATTCTAATGAGATTAGATATAAGATAATCCACTTGCACAAGGAAGTGAAAAAACAGTAGCTTCCAAAATGTGTCTCCTAACAACCACCTGGAAGACCTGGTCGACCCCAAAACTGCCCCCATCAGATAAACAGCACTTAAAGCTTTCATCTTTGAGAGAGAGGAAAAAATCAAGCTGCTTCAGATCTGAAAACATCCACAGGTGTTTCTGTCCATCCTTCCACTGTGAGAAGACAACTCAGCGCTATGGGTCTGAAAGGATGTGTAGCCGTCGAGAAGAACCTCACTGAGAAAAGGAGACGGACACATCAAACAAAGAAGCTGAACGATGGACTGACCACCCCAGAGTCCAGACCTCAACATCACTGAATGTGTTTGGTTACTTCAGAAAATCATCAACCAGCTTCTAAGACTGAACTTTGGAGGTGTGTCTGCAGATTCTTTGAGGAACTGAAAGTGAGTCTGAAAGGGAAGTCGTGAAAGGAAAGGAAGCTGGAATAAAGATAATGGACAAACTAAACACTGAAACATGAATAAATTGTATGTTTTGACTGTAAATTGAATAAAAGACTCAGACTTTTTCGCAGTACAGTACAGACCCACACTGTACACACACAAGCATATAAATACCCACGCCTACGCGCGCAAACACAAACGCACGGACACACATTCACGTACAAATACACACAGAAGCCTGTCATCACTTTGATCTTGTGCACACATCCCCTCCCCATGCAGACACACACGTACACACCCGTTAATATACACACACACACACCTACAGCCGCCACAACAACCTTCTCTTTTCACGCTACAGAGTGATGTTAGTGCATGATTACATCACAACTGGCAGAACAGGTGCTGGATTAAAGGCAAATGTTCCCAGTGATGGTTTATTTTTAATACATTTGACTGTTATACAAAATTTCTGTGTAACTCAGTGTTTGAGGTGTAAACAGAGTGATTCAGAGTGGTTTGGTGTGAAATGGTTCAGATGTCTTTACAGTGGTGGTGATAGGAACCAGGTGTTGCCATGACTACAACACAAATATAGCCATTTTATTTACTATCCAAAACCACCAGTGAACCGACACGAGTCTTCTGAGTTTCATATGGAATGTTGATGATGGAAAATAGTGGAAAATCTGAAATAAAAAGTTTTCTTTGGGGACTATTTTGCCTCACAGCGCCCTGCATATCATGTATCCCTCCACCATGAATGGATTTTAAGGCCAAAATCTTTACAAAACTATCATAAAACAGTGTCTCGGGCATCAGGCAGCATATTTATAACCATTTTATGTAACTTACAGCTTTCTGTGAGGGAGCTTTTAGAGGTGGACGTCTGGTTCCTATCACCACCACTGTGAACAGTTCTGTTTCTCTAAAATGGAGCATTTCAAACAAACCACTCAGAATGACTTTGTTTACATCTTACACATTTATAATGCAGATTTTTTTTTTTTAAATTGGTGGAATTCCCCTTCAAGAACTTAATAACTGTATACCAGAGTGAGTTCTGAACTTGCAATGTGATTGGCTGAGAGGCCAAGTATCACTCCGCCTCATTTGCCTATGACATAGCAACGACAACCAGCCATTAACAAAGTAAGATTAAACTTGGTTAAACATGGTTAAACCAGCCAAACATGGATAAGAAGGAAATGATACGGGGGGAAATGAGCTGTCTGAGCCCTCCACTCATTTTTATAAGAACGTCCTTAAGGCCTCAGCGGACTTCTTGCGGAGACGACGTTCGTCTGGCTTCAGTGAACAATATGACGTAATTGTGGAGTAAACGAACATCCGCAGACGTCATCTAGAGGTTTCGTTCACCGTGTTGCGCACATGGCAGCTTGTTAATTAGCTGATGAGCTGATGAGGCAGTGTGCTGAAGTCTGCAGTGTTTTGGCCCGCGAGGACTGGAGCCTGACGCTCTAGCTTAAACATGGATATCAGAAACTTGCAATGATGTTCAGGTGACATATTGCTGCAGTATTTGTTGAAAGCCTGCCTCTGGATATTACTGGAGGAGCCTGTTAGCCCGCTAGCCTGTTATCTGCTGAGCTGTTTAGCCTTATCTGCTGAAGGCAGAATGTCGCAGTTGTCGGAAGAAAACCTCATATATCCATTTTTCAGTTTTTGACATAATTTGAAAATACTTTCAAATTACCTTTACATTGTATGTAAAAATCATGATGAATGGATCAAAACAAACGTCCCAAAATGACTTTCATTAAAAGTCAAGCTTGTTTTTTCCTTCTCCTGTAAAGTTACCATTTTGGAGATCCAAGGTTTTGTTCTGAGCGGTGATCGTGTACAGTTCTGGCCAAAAGTTTTGAGACTGACACAAATTTTGGTTTTCAAAAAGTTTGCTGCTTTAGTTTATATGTTGGCAATTTGCATTAACTCTAGACTGTTGTGAAGAGTGATCAGGTGAATTGCAATTAATTGCCATGAAAATCAACATTTCAGCCACAAAATGACCTGCTAACATCATCCCAGTGATCTCGTTAGCTCAGGAGAAAGTGCTAACGAGGACAAGGCAGCTGATATCACTCTGTCATGCTGATTGAATTAGCCTGGTTGCTTTAAAAGGGGGGTGCTGCTTGAAATCATTGTCTTCTTCTGTTAACCATGGTTTCCTCCAAGGAAACGTGCAGTCATCATTGCTCTGCATCAAAAGGGCTTCACAGGCTGGAACATTGCTGCTTGTAAGACTGTACCTAAATCAACCATCTATCGGACCATCAAGAACTTCAGGGAGAGAGGGTCAGCTGCGGAGAAGGTATCAAGGGGCCCGAGAAAGTCCAGCAAGCAACTGTAAAGCATCTGGAGACCATTCTTGTGTGGGGTTGCTTCTCATCCAAAGGAATGGTCTCACTCACAATTTTGCACTGCCATGAGTAAAGAATGGTATCAAAACATCCTCCAAGAGCAACTTCTCTCAGTGATCCAGGAGCAATTTGGTGATGAACGATGCTTTTTCCAGCGTGACGGAGAACCACGTCACAAGGCAAAGGTGATAACTAAGTGGCTCGGTGAACAAAACTTTGAAATTTTGGGTCCAGAGCCAGGAAGCACCCCAGATCTCAATCTGACTGAGAACCTGTGGTCAATTCTCAAAAAGCAGGTGGACAAAAACACGGAAATTGTGATGAGCTCTGATTAGGCAAGAATGGGTTGCCATGAGTGAGGATTTGGTCTAAAAGCTGATGTCCAGCATGCCAGGGGGGGCGAATTGCAGAAGAAGGGTCAACATTGTAAATATTGAATCTTTGCATAAACTTGATGTATTTGTCAATAAAAGTTGACAAACGTATGAAATGCTCCTGATTGTACTTCAGTATACCATAAAAAAATATCTGACAAAAATATCTGAAAACACTGAAGCAGCAAACTTTTTGAAAACCAACATTTGTGTCAGTCTCAAAACTTTTGGCCCTGACTGTAAACCAGATACCACTTCACATCAAACTGCTCTGAATGGCTTTGTTTACATCTCTACCTTTGAATTATGCTGGAATTTTGAAAAAGTGCCCCTGGTTTAAAAGCACGTATAGAAACTCCTTTGGCCCAAAGGTGGTTTAAACACCTGAAAGGTTAGAATGCTAATGAGTGCTGACAGTGTGAGAAAATGTGTGGCCTTTGGCATTAATCTCAAAGTAGGCCTTTTTCCAGCTTTTCCTTTAATTTCGCAGTTTTAGCAAAGCAAAAATGGCAGCAGTTAAAAAGATTTCTATTCAATATGTTACATTTTTTGCAAACCGGCAAAGAAAACATGCTCATTTATCAAAATCATTTTTTTTCGCTCAGACAAGATGAGACACGACGAACCCCTTTGACAAACACACCCTGTTTTCGGTTTGCATAAGATTTACAAACACGTGAAGATTCTCCAAGCTCCAGAAACGACCAAAGCATTTTTACATCTTCTGTTATTGCAGGGGCGGAAAATTCCAGACCTGGCACCCACACTGAGAATGAACTTCCTTCATCTGTGGTGTTTTTTCTTCCCATAAATCACACCCTGTTAATCAAAAGTGAAAATGCAAGGTACACTGACAGTAAAACGTCTGTACACGATTCAGTTCGCATGATTGAATGTATGTTTTTATATAATCTTCAAAACACATTAAGATCCAAAATTTATGCTTTATGCTTCAAATCATTCAACCCATACGAGGCCCACACATAACTTCCTCACTGTCATTTTTAAACCACAGCTGAAAACACTCCTTTTTAATCAAGCTTACAGTTGACAATATACATTTGTGTTCATTCATTTTATCTATTTTAATTTATTCTTTTTTATTTTATCCATTCTTGTAAATATGATTCTTTATTTACATTGTTTATATTTTTTACTTGCCTTTATTTCTTTTTTTAAGCGCTTTATACTTTTATTTGTATGACCATCCCTGTTTAAGGCTCTTTGATTGAGTGGTTGTCTGCTATTGTTGCTTTGATCTTATGCACCTTAATTTTGAATTATTATTAAAATAGGCCCTTTTTTTGTTATGACTTTTTGTTGCTGCTTTTTTATTATGTATTTGATCTACTTTTTTTACTCTTACTTCTTCTGTTATTACTGTAAAGCACTTTGAGCTACATTTTTATGCAAAAAGTTATTATTATAATATTAGTAATGTTCTAATGATGCTCAACATTTCATTGTAGACACTGAATAATTCATAACAGCTGCTGAATAATTCATAGTAGATACTGACAAAACCATAGTAGCTACTGAATAATTAATAGTAGATACTAAATAATCCATAGCAGATATTGAGTAATTCATAGTAGTTACTAAATAGTTTATAGTAGATGCTGAATAATTCATAATAGATACTGAATAATTCATAGTAGATACTGAAGAATTCATATTAGCTACTGAATAATTCATAGTAGATGCTGAATAATTCATAGTAGTTACTGAATAATTCATAGTAGATGCTGAATAATTCATAGTAGATGCCGAATCATTCATATTAGATACTGAATAGTTCATCATGAATACTGAATAATTCATCGTAGATGCTGAATAGTTCATCATAGATACTAAATAATTCATACTAGATACGGAACAAGCCCAGAGTAAATGCAACATTTTTAAATTAGTTATATATATTATGCAATAGGATCGAGAGATAAGGGAGTTTGCTTTTCCACTCACTGTCCACCTAATTAGAAACACATCTGTATCTCTAATGACATTTCTTGTATTTTTATTCACAGATTAGCCAATTGCTAATAGAAAACGCTGAGTTGGCTCTGCGCACAGAAAACACCAAATCCAGGGTTTCTTGCCTCCAGAGCAGGTGCGTTTCTCTGAACACAGACAAAACACATAGAACACAGACACAACACTCAGAACACAGACAAAACATTCAGAACACAGACACAACACTCAGAACACAGACACAATACTCAGAACACAGACACAACACTCAGAACACAGACAAAACACTCAGAACAGACACAACACACAGAACACAGACAAAACACTCAGAACACAGACACAACACACAGAACACAGACAAAACACACAGAAAACAGACACAACACTCAGAACACAGACACAACACTCAGAACAGACAAAACACACAGAACACAGACAAAACACACAGAACACAGACACAACACTCAGAACAGACAAAACACTCAGAACACAGACAAAACACACAGAACACAGACACAACACTCAGAACAGACAAAACACTCAGAACACAGACAAAACACAAAGAACACAGACAAAACACTCAGAACACAGACACAACACACAGAACACAGACAAAACACAAAGAACACAGACAAAACACTCAGAACACAGACACAACACTCAGAACAGACAAAACACTCAGAACACAGACAAAACACACAGAACACAGACAAAACACTCAGAACACAGACAAAACACACAGAACACAGACAAAACACTCAGAACACAGACAAAACACACAGAACACAGACACAACACTCAGAACACAGACAAAACACTCAGAACAGACAAAACACACAGAACACAGACAAAACACAGAACACAGACACAACACTCAGAACAGAGACAAAACACACAGAACACAGACAAAACACAGAACACAGACACAACACTCAGAACAGAGACAAAACACACAGAACACAGACAAAACACACAGAGCACAGACACGACACTCAGAACACAGACAAAACACACAGAACACAGACTAAACACTCAGAACAGACACAACACTCAGAACACAGACAAAACACACAGAACACAGACAAAACACTCAGAACACAGACACAACACTCAGAACACAGACAAAACACTCAGAACACAGACACAACACTCAGAACAGACAAAACACACAGAACACAGACAAAACACACAGAACACAGACAAAACACTCAGAACACAGACAAAACACACAGAAAACAGACAAAACACTCAGAACACGGACAAAACACTCAGAACACAGACAAAACACTCAGAACACAGACACAACACTCAGAACAGACAAAACACACAGAGCACAGACAAAACACTCAGAACACAGACACAACACACAGAACACAGACACAACACACAGAACACAGACACAACACTCAGAACAGACAAAACACACAGACAAAACACAGAACACAGACACAACACTCAGAACAGACAAAACACACAGAACACAGACAACACACACAGAACACAGACACAACACTCAGAACACAGACAAAACACACAGAACACAGACACAACACTCAGAACAGACAAAACACACAGAACACAGACAAAACACTCAGAACACAGACACAACACTCAGAACACAGACAAAACACACAGAACACAGACAAAACACACAGAAAACAGACACAACACTCAGAACACAGACAAAATACACAGAACACAGACACAACACTCAGAACACAGACAAAACACTCAAAACACAGACAAAACACACAGAACACAGACACAACACACAGAACACAGACACAACACTCAGAACACAGACAAAACACTCAGAACACAGACACAACACTCAGAACAGACAAAACACACAGAACACAGACAAAACACACAGAACACAGAGACAACACTCAGAACAGACAAAACAAAGAATACAGACAAAACACACAGAACACAGACAAAACACTCAGAACAGACAAAACACTCAGAACACAGACACAACACTCAGAACAGACAAAACACTCAGAACACAGACACAACACACAGAACACAGACAAAACACTCAGAACACAGACAAAACACTCAGAACACAGACAAAACACTCAGAACAGACAAAACACTCAGAACACAGACAAAACACTCAGAACACAGACAAAACACACAGAGCACAGACAAAACACTCAGAACACAGACACAACACACAGAGCACAGACACAACACTCAGAACACAGACACAACACAAAACACACAGAACACAGACAAAACACTCAGAACACAGACAAAACACTCAGAAAACAGACAAAACACTCAGAACACAGACACAACACTCAGAACAGACAAAACACACAGAACACAGACAAAACACTCAGAACACAGACACAACACTCAGAACAGACAAAACACACAGACAAAACACATAACACAGACACAACACTCAGAACACAGACACAACACTCAGAACAGACAAAACACACAGAACACAGACAACACACACAGAACACAGACACAACACTCAGAACACAGACAAAACACACAGAACACAGACACAACACTCAGAACAGACAAAACACACAGAACACAGACAAAACACTCAGAACACAGACACAACACTCAGAACACAGACAAAACACACAGAACACAGACAAAACACACAGAAAACAGACACAACACTCAGAACACAGACACAACACTCAGAACACAGACAAAACACACAGAACACAGACAAAACACTCAGAACACAGACACAACACTCAAAACACAGACAAAACACACAGAACACAGACAAAACACTCAGAACACAGACACAACACTCAGAACACAGACAAATCACACAGAACACAGACACAACACTCAGAACAGACAAAACACACAGAACACAGACAAAACACTCAGAACACAGACACAACACTCAGAACAGACAAAACACTCAGAACACAGACAAAACACTCAGAACACAGACACAACACACAGAACACAGACACAACACTCAGAACACAGACACAACACACAGAGCACAGACACAACACTCAGAACACAGACACAGCACTCAGAACACAGACACAACACACAAAACACACAGAGCACAGACAAAACACTCAGAACACAGACAAAACACAAAACACACAGAACACAGACAAAACACTCAGAACACAGACAAAACACTCAGAAAACAGACAAAACACTCAGAACAGAGAAAACACACAGAACACAGACAAACCACACAGAACACAGACACAACACTCAGAACACAGACACAACACACAGAACAGACAAAACACACAGAACACAGACACAACACACAGAACACAGACACAACACTCAGAACACAGACACAACACACAGAACACAGACACAACACTCAGAACAGACAAAACACACAGAACACAGACACAACACACAGAACACAGACACAACACTCAGAACACAGACAAAACACACAGAACACAGACACAACACTCAGAACAGACAAAACACACAGAACACAGACACAACACACAGAACACAGACACAACACTCAGAACACAGACAAAACACACAGAACACAGACACAACACTCAGAACACAGACACAACACTCAGAACTGACAAAACACACAGAACACAGACAAAACACTCAGAACACAGACAAAACACTCAGAACACAGACACAACACACAGAGCACAGACACAACACTCAGAACACAGACACAGCACTCAGAACACAGACACAACACACAAAACACACAGAGCACAGACAAAACACTCAGAACACAGACAAAACACAAAACACACAGAACACAGACAAAACACTCAGAACACAGACAAAACACTCAGAAAACAGACAAAACACTCAGAACAGAGAAAACACACAGAACACAGACAAACCACACAGAACACAGACACAACACTCAGAACACAGACACAACACACAGAACAGACAAAACACACAGAACACAGACACAACACACAGAACACAGACACAACACTCAGAACACAGACACAACACACAGAACACAGACACAACACTCAGAACAGACAAAACACACAGAACACAGACACAACACACAGAACACAGACACAACACTCAGAACACAGACAAAACACTCAGAACACAGACAAAACACACAGAACACAGACACAACACTCAGAACAGACAAAACACACAGAACACAGACACAACACACAGAACACAGACACAACACTCAGAACACAGACAAAACACACAGAACACAGACACAACACTCAGAACACAGACACAACACTCAGAACTGACAAAACACACAGAACACAGACAAAACACTCAGAACACAGACACAACACTCAGAACACAGACAAAACACACAGAACACAGACAAAACACACACAACACAGACAAAACACACAGAACACAGACACAACACTCAGAACACAGACAAAACACACAGAACACAGACAAAACACACAGAACACAGACACAACACTCAGAACAGACAAAACACACCGAACACAGACAAAACACACAGAACACAGACAAAACACACAGAACACAGACACAACATTCAGAACAGACAAAACACTCAGAACACAGACAAAACACTCAGAACACAGACACAACACACAGAGCACAGACAAAACACTCAGAAAACAGACACAACACTCAGAACACAGACACAACACTCAGAACACAGATAAAACACACAGAGCACAGACAAAACACTCAGAACACAGACAAAACACTCAGAACACAGACACAACACTCAGAACACAGACAAAACACTCAGAACACAGACACAACACACAGAGCACAGACACAACACTCAGAACACAGACACAACACACAGAACAGACAAAACACTCAGAACACAGACACAACACACAGAGCACAGACACCACACTCAGAACACAGACAAAACACTCAGAACACAGACACAACACACAGAACACAGACAAAACACTCAGAACACAGACAAAACACTCAGAACACAGACACAACACACAGAGCACAGACACAACACTCAGAACACAGACACAACACACAGAGCACAGACACAACACACAGAACACAGACAAAACACTCAGAACACAGACAAAACACACAGAACACAGACAAAACACTCAGAACACAGACAAAACACTCAGAACAGACACAACACTCAGAACACAGACACAACACACAGAGCACAGACACAACATACACAACACAGACACAACACACAGAGCACAGACACAACACTCAGAACACAGACAAAACACTCAAAACACAGACACAACACTCAGAACACAGACACAACACACAGAGCACAGACACAACACTCAGAACACAGACACAACACACAGAGCACAGACAAAACACTCAGAACACAGACACAACACAGAACACAGACACAACACTCAGAACACAGACAAAACACTTAGAGCACAGACACAACACACAGAGCACAGACACAACACTCAGAACACAGACACAACACACAGAACAGACAAAACACACAGAACACAGACAAAATACTCAGAACACAGACAAAACACACAGAGCACAGACACAACACTCAGAACACAGACACAACACACAGAGCACAGACACAACACTCAGAACACAGACAAAATACTGAGAACACAGACAAAACACACAGAGCACAGACACAACACTCAGAACACAGACACAACACACAGAGCACAGACACAACACTCAGAACACAGACACAACACACAGAACACAGACACAACACTCAGAACAGACACAACACACAGAGCACAGACACAACACACAGAGCACAGACAAAACACTCAGAACACAGACAAAACACACAGAACACAGACACAACACACAGAACACAGACACAACACTCAGAACACAGACACAACACTCAGAACAGACACAACACTCAGAACACAGACAAAACACTCAGAACAGACAAAACACACAGAACACAGACAAAACACACAGAACACAGACACAACACTCAGAACACAGACAAAACACTTAGAACACAGACACAACACTCAGAACAGACAAAACACTTAGAACACAGACAAAACACACAGAACACAGACACAACACTCAGAACACAGACACAACACACAGAGCACAGACAAAACACTCAGAACACAGACACAACACTCAGAACACAGACACAACACTCAGAACACAGACAAAACACACAGAACACAGACACAACACTCAGAACACAGACACAACACTCAGAACACAGACAAAACACACAGAACACAGACACAACACTCATAACACAGACAAAACACACAGAACACAGACACAACACTCAGAACACAGACAAAACACTCAGAACACAGACACAACACTCAGAACACAGACACAACACAGAAAACACTGACAAAAACAGACATAAATGCAGACAGAAACACAACTTCACCCATATGTTAATAACGCAGTTAATGAATTACACTGAACTTTGCGTTGACTCCTGATATTTCCAGGTTTATTACATACTAAGGCTTATTCAGTAAATACTGAATTTATAGGAGTTATTCTGAAGTTATAGGACAGAAATGGATCTCATGTTCATTTAGGCTGTTTAAAGAGCTCAAGACAAGAGCTCTGTGTCTGTCAGTAGGAAACAAAGAGTGAGTGCCCTCTAGTGGAAGGAATAGACATGACTGAAGTACAGAGCGAAACACAGATATAAACACATATAACTAGAAAATACAAATAATTAGAAAATACGGGATAAAAACATAACTCTTCTCTTTCCTGTGCTTTGTCTGTCAGACTTCAAAAGATCTAAGTTGATAAACTGCCATATTGAGCGTGTGAAAGCCTGTGTGTGGAATGTGTGTGTGGTATGTGTGTGCATGTAATACACGTGTGGAATGGATGTGTGTGAAGGTGTGGAATGTGTATTCTTAAAAAAGCTCCATGTTTCATTTTTTTATGTGGTTCCTGAACTTAACATTAAGGTAATGTTTGTTTTTCTTTTAGGACAAAAGATGTAGTATAGATAATTAAATCCACATAATACACGTCATTTATTATATTACATATACGTTCTTATATGTATGGGACATATTATTACAAAAAGATACTATGTATATGTGTGTGTGTGTGTGTGTGTGTATGTATATATATATATATATACATAGGATACATTATAGATTATTACATATATACTTACATATATAATACATAGAGCATATTTATTAAGATATGTGTAATATATATGTATATATATATATATATATATATATATATATATATATATATATATATATGTGTATATACTTACAGAGATAGATAGATAGATAGATAGATAGAGATATATAAATGTATATATACGTATATATGTATGCATGTGGGGCATATTATTATTACATATATGCACTTTCATATAAATAGTACATATTTGGTTTATATTCCTGACATTGTATAAACGTGTATATCTGTAGGTGTGAAGCTGAAGAGAAACTGCGTCTGCGTTTGGAGCAGCGGGTCTCTGAGCTGATGGAGAAAAAGACGGACATGGATCTGGCCAACAGCCTGCTGGAGAGACAGCTTAACACCCTCAGAGAGGAGCTGCTGCTAATGGAGGAGGAGCAGGAGGTACAGAGAAAGAGAGAGAGAGAAAGAGAGAGAGAGAGAGAGAGAGAGAGAGAGAGAGAGAGAGAGAGAAAGAGAGAGAGGTTTTCTGTTTCCTTCATTCCATTCTCCCACCTACCTGTCATTTAAAATCGTAGCTGTCCTTAAACACCTTCTGCCGTGTATGCGTGAGAAACCTGAAGCGTTTTTACTGTGTTTACTTTGTGGTTTTCTTCAGAGGTGTCATTGTGAACGTGTGTGTCAAACACAGCACATTCCCATTACCCAACGGAAAAGTAACGATTAGCAGTTCTAACGAAAACAAGAACTCAAAATGAGCTGTATTAGTTATTTATCTTTAAATGAACCCATAAGTGGTGTTATAATTTTGTTCTGGTTAAATTTCGGAGAAACAGCCATTAGAACACACATGTTTTTCATTTTTTTCTACCCCTGCTCAAGCATTCCGCTCCCCTCTTCAGTTAGCAGCCTCATTAGAACAAAATGAAAGCATGCTTCATAATTTCCTTCTAATAAAGCCTACCGTGTGTATAGTAAGCCTATTACAATTAAAGCAGTGGTCACCAAACCTCTTCCTGGAGAACCACTTTCCTGTAGACTTTAGTTCCATCCTATAAGCTGCCCCACCACTTAGCACTCATGCATCTGATCCAGCCAATCAGGGACTTGGGAAGTTTTATTTAGCTGGGGCAGGTGTGGCACATTGTGGTTGGAGCTAGACTCTGCAGGAAGGCAGCTCTCCAGGACCAAGGCTGGTGACCATTGAAAGTGGGGTGGGGTGACTCAGTGGTAGAGGGCTTGTAGAGAGGGCCAGCAGCTTCAAGGTCCATTTTACACATGTGCTGTGGAGAGCATTCTAACAGCTCCATCACCTCCTGGTATGGCAACTGCACTGCCATCGAGCGGAAAGCTCTGCAGAGGGTGTTGCGGACAGCCCAGCACATCACTGGGGTCCAGCTCCCAAACCTCCTGGATTTATACACCTGCCTGTGGAAGACCTGGAGGATTCTAAAGGACTCCACCCACCCAAGCCACTGTCTGTTCTCACAGCTGCCAAACGAGAAGAGGTACAGAAGCATAAAGTCCAGAACGAGCCGGTTCCGAGACGGTTTCTTCCCCCAGGCCATCAGGCTGCTGAACAGCCAGTAGTGCTGGTGTATCGGTCTATACGCCCAGCACTGCACCTCTGAGTCATCATGATGATCTCCATGGACAATCCACACCTCATCAGACTCACTGTTATCTTACTGCACCTTCAATCTAGCAAATCTATACTTACACATATAGACCGACATCCTGTACATGTTCTATACATTTCTTGGATAATCTGGAAGATTCCTATATCAATATTCTATCCTCTGTATACCTGCATCTCATTTATTGTCCACCTCAGACTCACTAACTGCACATACAGAATGTGTACAACAGTACATGTCATAGTTTTATTTCACAACTTATTACTGTACAACTGTACGTTGCAATACTAGTGTATATTGTGTATATGTGTATGTATTTAGAGTCAATGTATATATATTTCTTTTTTTCTCATATATATATATCCAGAAGAGCATTTGTGAGGTCAGACACTGATGTTGGATGAGAGGGCCTGGCTCACAATCTCCGTTCTAGTTCATCCCAAAGGTGTGTGATGGGGTTGAGGTCAGGGCTCTGTGAGGGCCAGTCAAGTTCTTCCACACCGAACTCACCCAGTCATGATTTTATGGACCTTGCTTTGGTCACTGGGGCTCAGTCATGCTGGAACAGAAGAGGTTCTTCCCCAAACTGTTCACACAAAGTTGGAAGCATAGAATTGTCCAAAATGTCTTGGCGCTGAAGCATTAAGATTTCCCTTCACTGGAACTAAGGGTTCTAGATCAACCCCTGAAAACAGCCCCAGCTCATTATCCCTCCTCCACCAAACAGTTGGCACTATGCAGTCAGGCAGGTAACGTTCTCCTGGCATTCACCAAACCCAGACTTGTCCATCAGACTGACAGATAGAGAAGCTGATTCATCACTCCACATCAGCCATGGGAACCCATTTCCTGAAGCTCCTGATGTACAGTTCTTTGCTGATGTTGCTTTCAGAGGCAGTTTGGAACTCTGTAGTGAGTGAAAACAGAGGATAGACGATTTTTACATGCTTACGGTGGTCCCACTTTGTGCATTTGCGTGGTTTACCGCTACGTGGCTAAGCTATTGCCACTCTCAGACGCTTCTATGCAACAATAATTGCACATACAGTTGCAATTGGGGCAGATCTAGCAGGGCAGAAATGTCAGAAACTGATCTGTGGCGCAGATGGTGTATTAAGACAGTTTAGTGTCACCAAGCTCTTCAGTACGACCAATTCTACTGCCAGTGTTTCTCTGTGGAGACTGCAAGGCTATGTGCTTGATTTATACACCTGTCAGCAATGGGTGCAGCTGATAATAATTCGGAGGGGAGTCCACACACTTTTGGCCACATAGTGTATTTATTTTTGGCGAGCGGTGGGTGTTAATTTGCCACCCTGCTTTCAGGATGTAGATGTGGGACACATGAAATATTTTGCTCTACTTTCCCGAAGCTGCTGACCGAATCCTTCCTGTGTGATGTCATAAACTCAACGGCCACCGTGTGAACAAGGTGGATTCAGCCTCCTCTCCTGATCAGTGTATAATTCTCATTGGTCCCCCTCCTCCCCCCTCCCCTCTCTATCTCTCTCTCTCTCTCTCTGAGGGCAGAGGGAGCTGTTTCTGCAGCAGCAGCAGGCAGCTGATGGTGTGTTAGTGCAGGCAGCTGCAGAGGAGGAGGATGGCAGAGGAATGGAGCTCCGGCGCCCCCGTCCCGGCCCCAGTCCAGCCCCAGGCCTCAGGCCCGCTCCAGCCCGCACCAGGACGGACACGGCCGTCCCCAACGGAGACGCACCTCCACAGGTATGGAAAAGGACGAATCTCCCTCTCTCTCGTTCTCATTCTCTCTCTCTCTCACACTGTCCAGGAAAGGGGTGGCTTCTTCCCAGCACTGCAGATGACTGTGTGTTTGTTTTCGTCCATAGTCGGCACATTTTTTTTAAACTCAAAGGGCAAAACCATTTCTTTTTGGTTTCAGAGGTTAAGATTAGGGTTAGGCTTCTTATTACATATAGACACATTTATATTTACATATAAATAATACTTATTGGCCATATTATTATTACAAATTGATACACACATATATTATACATAACGGCATGTATATACATGTATACATATAGAATGCACAGGGGACATATTGTTATTGCATATAGATACACTAATCAGGCATAACATTCTGACCACCTCCTTGTTTCTACGCTCATTGTCCATTTTATCAGCTCCACTTACTATATAGGTGCACTTTGTAGTTCTACAGTTACAGACTGTAGTCCATCTGTTTCTCTGCATACTTTGTTAGCCCCCTTTTACCCTGTTCTTCAGTGGTCAGGACCCCCATGGACCCTCACAGAGCAGGTACTATTTGGGTGGTGGATCATTCTCAGCACTGCAGTAACACTGACGTGGTAGTGGTGTGTTAGTGTGTGTTGTGCTGGTCAGAGTGGATCAGACACAGCAGTGCTGCTGGACTGAGAACACCTCAGTATCGCTGCTGGACTGAGAATAGTCCACCGACCAAAAATATCCAGCCAACAGTGTCCTGTGGGCAGCGTCCTGTGCCCACTGATAAAGGACAAGGGATGACCAACACAAACTGTGCAGCAACAGAAGATGAGCTATCGTCTCTGACAAGGTAGGTGTTTCTAATAGAGTGGACAGTGAGTGGACACAGTGTTTAAAAACTCCAGCAGCACTGCTGTGTCTGATCCACTCAGACCAGCACAACACACACATATTACCTGCTTTGTGAGGGTCCATGGGGGTCCTGACCACTGAAGAACAGGATGAAAGGGGGTTAACAAAGTATGCAGAGAAACAGATGGACTACAGTTTGTAACTGTAGAACTACAAAGTGCACCTATATAGTAAGTGGAGCTGATAAAATGGACAGTCACCTGGGTGTGTGTATATATATATATATATATATATATATATATATATACATAGGTAATATGTATGACTCTACATATGACAAGGTGCATCTCATTAATGTGTGTTTGTGTGTGTGTACACATCATTGCTGTAATTCAGGGCTCATTGTTAGGCCTCTCCCTCAGTCGATAAGCATTGTTTTCTGATGCAGTTGTTTCAGTGTTACAGTGATTGTCCTTCTTTGTCTCTCTCTCTCACAGACACACACACACACACACACACACACAAACACACACACACACACACACACACGGCTCTTAGGCTGATTTATTTCTCAGTACAGGAAACTGGCAGCAGGCCTCCATCACTCAGACATCCAGCAGCAGTCAGCAGCAGAGCTCTGAACTAGTATCAACAAGACTAGAAAACACGAGAATCATGTTCACCCTTAAAGGGCCCATGTTCTACACTTGTCTACACTTTCTACTCTAATAACGTTTGTGTGGCTACATGACATTTCATGTTTGTTTTCGCACTACTGTTATCCAGCCTCTGTTTATCTCTTAAAAATAGACTGAATGGGTGGTCATTTGTACAAATGGTTGTGACATCACAGCCGCGATGCACTGAAAAAGGGCTGTGCATTTGGACTGTACTGGGGAGTGAACAGTACATTAACTGTAACAGTGTTTACATGCTATACCAAACTCTTATTTCCATGATCTCCATATTCCATGATAAAGTCTTTCATTTTTGCGTAGCCCAGCAAAAAAAATCAAAGGTTAATCTTAGACTGATTAAATGGACTGGAAGATTGGACCAGGTTAGTGCTAGATCTGTCAAGCAGATAAAATGATGCAGTTAATCGCACTGTTTTGGTAGTTAATTGCGAATAAATAAACAAAAAAATACACAGTTGTGTTATTTGATTTATTGGGCTCTCAGTATCTCTGTATGAAAGTATTAAATATGTTTAAAATATGTCGCTGTTGTTGGAACAAAACCTCATATCGCCAAAGTGGTAACTTTACAGGAGAAGGAAAAAACATACTTTACTTTTGATGTAAGTCAATGGAATCAGACTTTTTTCCAAGTCATTCTGGGCCGTTTCTTTTTATCATGAAATTTAGAGACAATATAAAGGGCAACAGGCATTTTCAAATTATGTAAAAACCTGAAAAATGACAATCCAACAATCCAACATCGATGCAGTTGATGAATCAGTGAATTTGTACCCTGTTTGTATTTTGACTGAGTTTTGTGTTTGTGTACAGGTGAGCCGAGGTGACGAGGCCTTGTGGGAGGCGAGGGCGGAGCTCACAGAAGTCCGAAAGCGTTGGCACAGTTTACAGGTGGAGATAGAGTCTCTACATGCTCTGGTATGGACACATACACACTTCCACATGCACAACACACACGCTTACATCAGGAGCAGCTGGCATAAATGAGCTAGTGTGGCTGAGCCCACATTCTGGTTTATAATGGTCTAGTGCTGGTCTGATGCTGGTCATGCAGCATACCAGCATCTAAAACCCAACATATGCTGGTTTTGCTGGTGACTAGAAGTGCTGGTCATTTTTCAGATTGGCTTGAAAGCTACGACGCCTTAATATAGCAGCTACGCTAGCCTGCTATTATTTCCGTAAGCTTTAAAAGAGTGCGATCTGTAACTTATTAAATCTTCAACTAGATTAGCTGACAAGCTAAATTAGCTATTGCGCTAGCTAGAATACTTGCTATCCAAATTACATGCTGGTCAGCCATTTCAAGTTTCAAGTCGTTTTGCCACGAGCATGATCATGCTGTACAAAGTGTATTTCTCTGTGTTTTTCTCTGTGCAGGAGCACAGTCTGAGTGTTATTATCTGTGCAGGAGCACAGTCTGAGTGTTTTTCTCTGTGCAGGAGCACAGTCTGAGTGTTTTTCTCTGTGCAGGAGCTCAGTCTGAGTGTTTTTCTCTGCGCAGGAGCTCAGTCTGAGTGTTTTTCTCTGTGCAGGAGCTCAGTCTGAGTGTTATTCTCTGTGCAGGAGCACAGTCTGAGTGTTTTTCTCTGTGCAGGAGCTCAGTCTGAGTGTTTTTCTCTGTGCAGGAGCACAGTCTGAATGTATTTCTCTATGCAGGAGCACAGTCTGAGCATATTTCTCTGTGCAGGAGCGAAGCCTGCAGAGCTCACTGCGACACACACAGCAGCACTACTCGCAGCAGCTGCAGGACCTGTCCCGCTCTGTAAGGGGGCTGGAAGCAGAGTTGGAGGACGTCCGGGACGGCCTGGCTGTGCAGAGGCAACAACATGGCCAGCTGCTCAACACCAAGATGAGGCTGGAAAGAGAGATCGCCACCTACAGGAGGCTGCTGGAACACGAGGAGGGCAGGTGAGGACTCTGTGTTCTCGTTTAAGGAATACTTTACCCAAGAAATGCTAGATACCATTAATACATGAAAGCTAGCAGAGAGTTATAATAGCTGTCCCAAATTTAAGTACCATAGTCCACCTGCCACTTAAGTACAAGCAGTTTGTTCACATTGCAAAATGTAAGAGAATGCAGTGTACATCACTCAGAGGCAACAGGGTGTCATACCTAGCAGAAGAGGAGGAGCCATCTGAGGAAGCTGCAGTTTGAAATGTTAAAAATAGCACCAAATCTGCTAACATGTCAGTATCACTGTTGTGCCGACAGTGGTCCACCACTCAAAAAATATATGGTTAACAGCAGCCGTGTGGTCAGAAACTGACCAGTGATAAATGGAGTGGAGAGGGGCTGATAAACTGTGCAGCAGCAGATGGACTGCAGTCTATAACTTCTAATAAAGTGGCCAGTTAGTGGAAGCGCAAGGTAGGTGTTTCTAATAAAGTGGACAGTGGGTGAAAGCACAAGGTAGACGTTTCTAATAAAGTGGCCAGTGAGTGGAAGCACAAGGTAGGTGTTTCTAATAAAGTGGCCAGTGAGTGGAATCACAATGTAAGTGTTTATGCAGATGCAATCATTCAGTCAGTGTGATCCATCCCTGCTAACAAGCTTTTTTACTCTGCTGCCAACAGCATTTTTAAGAAAGAAATATAGTTCACCACATAGAATATACATACATATTAGCTCATGCACTGTGTAACACAGGGAGATTCTAAAAACAGCCTGAAATTGTTGGGCCGCAAAGAACAGATACGAATTGCTGTTGGGCCGCAGATACGATGATGGACTGTCAGGCACACAGTGAGCTCAGCTTTTATGGGTGCAGCATAGTTCAGGTCGTACATCAGCTCTCTCTCTCTGTCTCTCTCTCTCTCTTTCTGCAGGTTCCTCAGTGCGGATGGTCAGCCACGGAGGCTGAAGCCCTGGAGAGGCTCGACCCCACTGCTGCAGCAGAACGGTGTGTGTAATGGTTCTGTGGAAGATGGTGTCCTCTCTGAGAAACCAGTCAAACCGGGAGCGACACTGCACCGAGAGGGCAGCCTCGTCATTCTCACAGGTCTTCATAAAAACGAATAAATAACACAAACATTATTTATACCAAGTGTTTAGGAAGGTCTCATTCATATCTTGCCTATCAAGTTTTTTGGGGCCACTCACATTCTCAAATCAATGTACTTAATAATTGAACATTTTAAAAACAAACCAAAACAAAATGATAAAAAAGGTTTAAATTAAAAAGGAAATGACTGTGTAATTCTATATCTGGTGTCTGTGTCTCACTCGTAGAGCCCATAGGCAGCAGAGACGGGGAGATTTCCACAGTAAAGACGCAGGAGATTCTGGATGGGAACGTGGTGCGAGAGAGTGCTGAGGGACATGGACGAGTGGAGTGAGTAAACAGACAATCATTGAACTGCTGAATACTACATTATCCATCACCACACTCATCCCGCTGTAAAACACCACATTATCCCTCACCACACTCATCCCACTGTAAAACACCACACTATCCCATCACCACACTCATCCCACTGTAAAACACCACACTATCCATCACCACACTCATCCCACTGTAAAACACCACACTATCCATCACCACACTCATCCCCCTGTAAAACACTACATTATCCATCACCACACTCATCCCCCTGTAAAACACCACTTCATCCATCACCACACTCATCCCACTGTAAAACACCACACTATCCATCACCACACTCATCCCACTGTAAAACACCACACTATCCATCACCACACTCATCCCACTGTAAAACACCACACTATCCATCACCACACTCATCCCACTGTAAAACACCACACTATCCATCACCACACTCATCCCACTGTAAAACACCACACTATCCATCACCACACTCATCCCTCTGTAGAACACTACATTATCCATCACCACACTCATCCCACTGTAGAACACTACATTATCCCTCACCACACTCATCCCGCTGTAAAACACCACATTATCCATCACCACACTCATCCCGCTGTAAAACACCACATTATCCATCACCACACTCATCCCACTGTAAAACACCACACTATCCATCACCACACTCATCCCCCTGTAAAACACTACGTTATCCATCACCACACTCATCCCACTGTAAAACACTACGTTATCCATCATCACATTCATCCCGCTGTAAAATGCTACATTATCCATCACCACACTCATCCCACTGTAAAACACCACACTATCCATCACCACACTCATCCCATTGTAAAACACCACACTATCCATCACCACACTCATCATGATGTAAAACACTACGTTATCCATCACCACACCACACTTATCCCCACCATTAGGGCTTGACTACTTCAGGATAATTAACATTCACGAATCATTCATGAGAATAACATTTGACATGATTATAACTGTGTTCTCTGTGTCTGTGTAACAGAACGGAGAAGATCGATAAGGTCATCAAACAGTGGGAGGGCTCAATTTTCAAAGGGAACCCAAAGCTGAGGAAGAAATCGGTGTCTCTGCGTTTTGACCTGCACATGGCTGTAGCGGACGAAGGCTGCAGTCAGACCAAGCAGGACAGTCTGCCGGACGTGGAGGTTCGCTTGGTCATGAAACGCTCCCGGAGCATCCCCACCATAACACAGTGACCTCACAACCAAGAACTGCTGTTGCGTCACAACAACGACACATTTGCCCTTCATCAAAGGACAGGACGTGATGACATCACTGTGGCTACATCATAGACTTCTGGTTGAGGGAGAAAAAAAATCAGCTGAATATGCCAGATTTGCACTTTCATACTGCTACACATCACTGGTAAAACATCACAGCCATTTATTTGGGCCTTGAATGCCAAACCTCAACTCTGACTGGTAGATCAGATCAGAAAGGAGAGAGCTTTTCACATGAGGTTTAACATTTCACGGTGTACAGGCTACCACTGTTGCTACGGTTAACGCAAAAGGTCAGTTTATTTAGTTTGAAAAAATGAGCCACTGCAAAGCTAAAGGTAAGCAACTTTAGACTCTTATTGGAGTGGAAAAAAAATCTTCAATCTGATGAAAAATAACAAGGGTGATCTAATTTTACACCCCAGTGGGCCTCGCTGTGTCAACACAGCTTCTAAATAGAACTGCAAGCCAGGCAAAATGCAGCAGACAGAATCAAACTGAGATTATAAAGAGACTTGGCGGCTAGCGCTGTCCTTTGGCTATCAGCTGCCTTTAGGTTTACTGGACAGCCATGTTACTGTGCAAACATCAAGCATATCGAATAGAAGAAGTGCTTAGAACACACTGTACTATGGTTGCCTTCATATGAGTAGCAATTAAATCCCTAATAGCTTTTGTTTAGCACATTTGTAGGCCGTGTTCACTGTTTTGGCATCTGTCAACAGCTTTTGCCATTGATTTCAATAAGAATAACGCATTGATGGACAGTTGAACATTTGACTGGAATGTCCTTCATGCGTAATCACTGTCAGTTCACATCCAACTATAGGGACAGCTAATGGTTAGCTCAAACCAGCACTAAATCTAGCAATGATGAAATGCTAACATTTATCAAGCTAAAATGAAGCAGTATTGGATGTTTTAGGTTAGCAAAATGAATAAATATCACCTCAGACTATGACTGCGTTCTTAGCTAAGCTGCAGTGTTGTGTTTGCTTGAAGAATCCAACTGTAAAAAGGTGCCAGTCGTGCTAGTCATGATGCTAGCAGGCTAGTCAAAGTAGCACTGCAGTAAAGCATTGACAGATGCTAATATGTCAAAGTGAACACGGCCTTTAACCAACTGCAAAACTGTGTTTTTCAATCCTTTATAGATTCTACGGAGCCCCGGAGGGACGAAAGTAAAAATAAGAATTAATTTGAGTGAACATTTTGCAGTTTGTACGCCTGTTTTCTTTTATTCGCGGTCACTTCTTAAATTGTTCCCTTGTTTTCTTTTAATCGTGCGCACGTTTTCTTTACTTCGTGGGTTCGTTTTTTTTTTATTCGTGATCAACATTTTCTAATTGGTCCTCTCGTTTTCTTTTAATCGTTGTCATGTTTCATTTTTAACTGAACGCACGGTGTTTATTTTTTTATTCGTGCGCGAAATCACTGTAGTAGACACAGGTTGTGTTATTTGTCCGGTGCAGAAGCGGCTAACAGCTCCCTGACGCTGTCTGACGGGTTTTGGTGAGTTAGACTGATGAGATAATGAGATGCTCATCAGGTCTGATTCTGATTTGGGGGGTTATGAGGAAACTGCAGCTCCTCTTCACAGCAAACGGCCCTCAGATTCATCAGTGCAGCTGCAGTTTGGTGGTGAAATGAAGGAAGACAACAAACCGCAACCACAATCTTCACTAAACTGCACTGAAATTGTTATATTTAACAGACATATAAACGCAGCGCGGCCGTTTCTGCTCCCGCGACAAGCTGCGGTGTTAGAGACCATCACACAATTACGGGAAGAAATGATCAGCGTCGATGTTTCAACAAACTCAAATTAAACACACACAGAAACGTTCATGTGGAATGAGGTCAAATGGCGAGAGAGTTTAATAGATCTATGGATCAGATGTTATGTTAATGTGAGGATGTTGAAATGCTGATCATTTCTTCTTATAATTGTGTGATGGTCTCTAATTTGAGGAGCAGAAACACTGTGGGCCGTTTGCTGTGAAGAGGAGCTGCAGTTTCCTCATAACCCCCAAAATCAAAGTCAAACCTGATGAGCATCTCTGTTCATCATCTCATCAATCCAACACACCAAAACCCGTCAGACGGTCTCAGGGAGCTGTTATCAAAACACAGACAATCAGTATTCAACAATATTCAGTTAAAAATAAAACATGACTACGGTTAAAAGAAAACTAGAGAACGAATTAGAAAATCGTGATCACGAATAAAAAAACGTACCCACGAAGTAAAGAAAACGTGCCCACGATTAAAAGAAAACGAGGGAACGATTTAAGAAATCGTGACCACGAATAAGAGAAAATGTGCGTACGAACTGCAAAACGTTCACTCGAATTCATAATTTTTTCCCTCCGTCCCTCCGGGGCTCCGTAAGATCCTACAAAATATGAGAATTACATTTCACAGAAGTAATACAGAAATCATGATATGCTGTAGCACTTTTACATAACGCTTCATTTAAACTGGGTCACAAAAAGACTGACTGGTCAACTCTGCTGGACAAACAGGCATTTGGTGTGAATGTTCTGTTGTATGGTTTTGCTCCTAGTTGTCCTTTTTCTAGACAGAACCGATTATTTGCTAACCAGTTGTCGTTCCCAAGTACTACGATTAACCAAACTGCTGACTTGCTTTATGACGTCCATGTGAACCACCGCTTTTTAAGGTGAGCTGTTAGATTAGGGGGGAAGAATTTGCCTCTACAGATCAACTATAATCTTCTATGCTAGTCCGAAATGCACTTTAAAAGACTTTCAACAGCTCCATTTGCTGTGTGATGAATTTTGATTTGTTTGCTATTTTTTGGGCGAAATGTGCATTGTGTGGTTTTTTTTTCTAACAGCAGATCCGTATCAATTTAATGAGTATTTTATTCTGATATATTCATATATTACGCATTGACAAGATCTTTGGCCGCTGAACTGTATGACAGGTGCTGAAATAAAGCGAAAATTGAACAAAGCTGTCAATGTAACTCAGTTCTTAAGTTCATTATGGGTTGAGAGCTAAATTATATCAGGTTAGCCTAGTTTAGGTGTTAGTACTAGTGCTAGCTATGTTAGCCTAGTTTATATATATATACATATATATATATATATATATATATATATATGTATATATGTTACTGCTTTGATGAGAGGTTTGGAAGTAGTGAAATGAACACATAAAATCCACGCTTTGTAGTAATATTATGTGTATTTATTCTACTATTAGTGTTTTTCTCAGCAAATAAACTCGTACAGCCCAGCTAAACAGCCTTTTAGTTCTAATTTCCCAGGTTCCTGAAACTTTTGCACAGTACTGTATTTATTCTAATACAACATTAAAAAAAACACACCTATTGTTATGATAAATGGTTTTAAACCATACATTTTGGTGTCTAAGACTTTGTACAGTACTGTAAGAATAATATGGAGTTAACCACTGAATGTTATGCAACATCTTGTGGTCATAGTTTGTTACTACATCGCTCTGTGCTGATTCAACTCTGACTAATTGTGTGTTATTCTAAATAACAGACCTACTTTTATACTGTAAACTGGCCTATAGAATAATAACAGAAGTGAAATCTGACTCATATTCTTATAATGTTTTAGTGTTTTTTAAATTTGTATATGAGACCTTTTATGTTAGTATTGTGTAGCAGGATTCAACACACATTTACATTTCTTTACTTCTACCAGGGTCTACATACAGCCTTGGTAAAGGGCTGCTGTCTACATATACACCTACACACGTGCGCAGGTAGGTGCAGGTGGAGGTGTGGAATCTGACTGAATGTACAAACCAAATTAAAAAGCAGAAATCCTGCCCTCTAGTGGCATTTTATGGCATATACAGATGAAATCAGAAGTACAGAGTCACTCACAAAGACCTGATATGTGCATTCAGTCTTTCAGACTGAAACTCTGCACCGCAGTTCTTGATCATAACATTGTTTTATTTAGTTTTGGATATAATTTACAACATTATCCAAACAAATGTCCATCTTGACCTTATCCTTGACCTGTGTTTCAGAACAGTGGACAAAGATGGAAGTGTCTGGACTCTGTCTCCAGAGCTTCTCTGGTGACATCCTGTATAAATAAAAATAATGCGTGGCCACGACTTAGTAAGGCATGGGAATGAGATGATTAAGTCATGGCCACGACTTAGTAAAGCATGGGAACGAGATCCCAATGCGTGGCCACCACGTAGTAAGGTGTGGGAATTAGATCCTAATACATGGCCACAACTTAGCAAGCCGTGATCTCATTCCCATGCCTTACTAAGTCATGGCCATGCATTAGGATCTCATTCCCATGCGTTAATAATGTGTGACCACACATTATTTTAATTTACACAGGATGTCACCAGCAGGGCTCAGTACGAAGGCACAGGACTGGAATCCTAATGTGTAGCCACAACATAGCAAGGCGTGGGTTCAAGATAATTAACTCATAGCCCTGACTTAGCAAGACATAGAAATAAGATAAAGTGATGCCATGTCTTACTAAGTTATGGCCACAAATAAATTATCATGACTTCATTATCTTGTTCCCATGCCATGAGTTTATCCTGTTGCTAAGTGAAGTCCACAACTTAATTATCTTGTTCCCATGCCTTAGTAAATTGTACTCACAACTTAATTTTCTCATAATGTTGTGGCCAAGAATAAATTCTCAATCCTAATGCTTTACTAAGTCATTATTCCCACACCTTCTAAGTTGTGGCCAAGATTTAATTATCTCATTCTCGTGCTTTATAAAGTTATGGCCACAACTTATAGCGTTCCCGTGCCTTACCCAGTTGTGGCCAAGACTAAATTATCTCGTTCCCATACATTACTAAGTCATAGCCACAACTTAAGTATCTTGTTCCCAGACCTTACTTAGTCATGGCCACAATTTAATTATCTTGTTCCTATGCCTTACTACGTTGTAGCCAAGACTTAATTATCTCATTCCCATGTGTTACAACGTCATCGACACAACTTGTCTCATTCCCATGCCTTACGAAGTTGTGGCCAAGACTAAATTATCTTGTTCCCAAGCATAACTAAGTCATGGCCACATTTTAAGTATCTGGTCTCATGCCTTACCAAGACAGGGCCACTATTTCATTATCTAATTCTTGTTCCCATACATTACTAAGTCATAGCCACAACTGAAGTATCTCTTTCCCACGCCTTACTAAGCTATGGCCACAATTTAGTTATCTCATTCCCATGCATTACTAAGTTGTAGCCAAGACTTAATTATCTCATTCCTGTGCATTACAAAGTCATAGACACAACCCAATTACCTCATTCCCACGCCTTACTAAGTTGTGGCCAAGATTAAATTATTTTGTTCCCATGGGTTACTAAGTCATGGCCACAAATGAAGTATCTTGTTCTCATGCCTTACTAAGACATGGCCACTATTTAATTATCATAGTTATATGCCTTACTAAGTCATGGCCACAACTTAAGTATCTCATTCCATGCCTTACTAAGTCATGGCCACATTTTAATGATCTCATTCCCATGCATTACTAAGTCATGGCCACAACTTAAGTATCTCATTCCCATGCCTTACTAAGTCATGACCACAATTTAATTATCTTGTTCCTATGCCTTACTAAGTCATGAAAACCAATTTAATTATTATGTTCCCACGCCTTACTAAATCATGAAAACCAATTTTAATTATCCTGTTCCCACACCTTACTAAGTCATGACCACAATTTAATTATCTTGTTCCCACGCCTTACTAAGTCATGAGCACAATTTAATTATCTTGTTCCCATGCTTTACTAAGTCATGAAAACCAATTTAATTATCTTGTTCCCATGCCTTACTAAGTCATGACCACAATTTAATTATCTTGGAAGGCTCCCTAGATTGATGGCATGATTTCTCAGATAATATGAAGTATTATATTATCATATGGTCTTAGTAAAGCGATGACTCAGTAAGGTGAGGGAACACGATAATGAAGTTGTGGCCATGACTGTGTGAGTGAATATTGTCTGTATTATTGTGTGCTTGTATTTATTGTGCTTTACTGTGTATAATTCTAATTCTGTGCATAAACAATCTCTGCTCTGTGTTCTGAGCGGCCCATGTGCAAACAGTGCACTCTCTATAGAAGGTGATCCCACCTCTCGCTTTTCTGGAAAAGTGTGAGTCCTGCCAGAAACACTGAGTCAAGTTTTGGATCTCATTTTCATGACAAAGCGAATGTGGAGGGGCTGGACGGGTATAAATGCGTCTGGCGAGGCAGCAGACCAGCGTCACTCCTCAGGCAACACCACCAGCCAACACACACACACACACACATACACACACTCACACACACACATACACACACACACACACACACACACTCACACACACACACACACACACACACACACACACACACTCACACACATCTGCACAATGGGCTGGGTGATCAGGAAAATGCACCCATTTTCTTATCAGTCACATATTGATTCAGTATTGATCATCTGCTCAATACATCTTGTGACAACTTTTCATAACTGATGCTTAAAGGGGAATTCCACCAAATGTGAATAAATTTTCTATAACTCAGTGTTTGATGTAAACAAAGTCATTCAGAGTGGTTTGGTGTGAAATAGTTCAGACGTCTTTACAGTGGTGCTGATAGGAACCAGGGGTCGCCATGACTACAACACAAATATAGACATTTTATTTACCATCCAAAACCACCAGTGAACCTACACGAGTGTTTTGAGAAGATTCAATAACAAATGTTTCTATATAGCACTTTTCATGTTGAGTGTGATTGTATTATAATACTGTAAAGCAGGAACTTAATTAGCATTAAATAGCATTAGCTACATGCTAATTTAAACGGTTCAGCATAGTTACAGCGATAATTTCAGCCAAGACATGTTTGGAAACCAGAGTTTGCTTATTGTATGACACTGTATGACATGTCGTTAAATATAAAATTATTTAGGTATTCAGTTTGTACAGTGTGCTACCTGCATGCCTAAATAATCACACGCTGGCCACAAACCACATTGAGTTTAATGTCTAATGTTTGACATCATAACAATAGCAGAACCTGAACTTTTGGGTGCTGTATAGAACCATCTAAAGCAGATTCTCCATCAATCTGAAGAACCATTTCATGATACAAGGAACTTTTTAATCATGCAGTGGGTTTTTTGAGTGTTCATGGTTCTATATAGAACCATTTTGTTTGCTAAAGAACTTTTCAAAAAGGGTTCTATATAGAACCATCTACAGCACATTCTTCATCAATCTGAAGAATGCTTTAATCATGTAAAGGGTTCTTTGCATCATTAAAGGGTTCTTTGCATCATTAAAGGGTTCTTCAGACTGATGGAGAATGTGTTTTACATGGCTCTATATAGAACCGTTTTAAAAAGGGTTCTATATAGCACCAAAAAAGGGTTCTTCTATTGTTACAATGTCAAGTCTGTCACAATAGAAGAACACTTTTTGTTGCTATATAGAACCCTTTTCAAAAAGGTTCTATATAGAACCATCTATAGCACATTTTTCATCAATTTGAAGAATGCTTTAATCATGTAAAGGGTTCTTTGCATGATTAAAGGGTTCTTTGCATCATTAAAGAGTTCTTCAGATCAATGGAGAATGTATTTTACATGGCTCTATATAGAACCTTTTTGAAATGGGTTACGCTTCTTTCACAACAAAGCCAGAATTAAACAGTCCAGGAAACACAGTTCAGAATATCTAGAATGATCCTATTTCTCTCGTCTCTCTCTCGTTTGGGGTTCTTTAGGCCAGTAACTCCCAATATAAGATCCAGCTGTATGATAAGGCCGATTTCAGTGGACACACATATGAAGCCACTGAAGACTGCCCCTCAGTGCTGGACAGGTTCCACACACGTGAGGTCAGTTCCTGCAAGGTTCTGGAGGGCATCTGGGTCTTCTACGAGCCTCCCAACTACAGGGGTCACCAGTACGTGCTGGAGAAAGGAGACTACCGCACCTCTGTGGACTGGGGCGCCGTGTGCGCCACCGTCCAGTCCTTCAAACACCTGACGGAGTAATAAGCCTGATTTTCGAGGCTACGTTCACATTACAGGGCTTTATTACTCAGACCTGGTCTTTCTGCCTTAACGAATCACAGTCATGTTTGTAAGTTAGACTTATCCAGTGTGAACACCTGCACGTGCACACATTGTTGCATATGCAGTACAGTGTGATGTACGTTCACATGCACATATGAAAAGATCCAGATTTTTTGTGTTCACATTGGCCTGGGAAAGTCAGATCTGTCACATTTAGGCAAAAAAACTGGATTAGTGCCACTTAAAACCTGTACTGTGAACACAGCATTTGAAAGAGTTTAAGCCTGATTGCTGCTGATTTAGGTCTGATCTCTACACACACTCCATAAACAGCCCAAACACAGCTACATGGAGCTAATGGTCACGATGCTGACCACAACAGCATCAAAACAACTCACCAGTGCTGATTAAATAAAATGTGGAGTGGCCACCTGCGGATGTTTCTGTCTTTCCTTGTATGAGTGTATTATCGAGTAATTTGCCTAATTCTAATGAGAACCACAGTCTCTGTCCACTAGAACCACATTCCATGTAACTGAACTCACTGGCCACTTAATTAGAAACCCCTGCCTTCCACTCATAACTGAGGACCCCCTGTCTACCCTCCTATACCAGGAGGGTAGAACTACATTTGGACAGAAAGTGCACCAAACATAAAACGGCAGTTAATTATAATAATCTTTATTTGTATCTATGTAGTACTTTCTGAGCTAATTAATGTGTAATGCCCAGAAAAATACCTTTAAATATGCTTTTCTCAGGTAGCTTAAAACCTTTGCACAGCACTGTCTAGCCTTTTAACTGACCCTGTTGCAGGTACATCACAAACATTACATGGAGCCTCCACCTACTGGCTACGCAGTGAATCCAGTCTGGCTGCGGTGATTTTGATGCATAGTGTATTACACAAAGTGACCTCCAGGGTGTGCTGTGGTCCAGTGCGAACTTTTTCCAGAGAAAGAAGAGAAGTTTCATGACCGTCATAAATTCCAAATTTCGGCCTAATTAAACTTCTCAGTATAAATAATTAATGAATTCAGGAAGTAACATTTTATAATGTATTTTATTCTAAAATAATAAATTAGAACATTTTATAATAAATAATAAAATAAAAGAAAAAGTTCAGTGTATTGATAAGACAGCATGTAGACGTTGTTGTGATGGTCCTGACGTCTTGAACCCAAATGTTTCTCCTCGCCAACACAAGCTTGGACAATACAATCTACAAAAATATCACAAATATTATACATTTATACATATGCACATATATTTAAACTAGACAAATTATGCTTAAACAGTTACTGATTCCTGTTGTGAGGGTGATTTTGATTGGTTTACAGACTAGTACACACAATATATGCAGTCAACTCCATAATTATAGGCATCTTGGTATAAATATAAAATAGAAGTTTGTATATTTTATAATAGTTAATAATATCTAAACTTTGACTGAAGGCCACAAAAACAGAAACAATTCGACAGAAGTGTTGACTTATAGAAATCAGTCTGTTTTAAACAACCGGAGCCGTAGGGAACCTGGCTGGAAGAGGACTCCCCACAGTGAGGAGGAGATGGTGGTGGGATTTTGGGGTCAATAACGTCACCAAGACTATAATCAGACGCTTAATGACATCTGCAATGGTCCAACAGTACAAAGTGACTTCTACACCGTTCCTCGTGCTGCCCTCAATAACAGAGCTCTCCTTCTGAGCACTATGGATAGATCAGGGGTGCGCAACTTTTCAGTGCATAAAAAATGTGCAGTTCTGATGTAAGCAGTATTTCAGTTCTTTTCACTTTGCACAATAGTGAACGGTGCTTTTCTAATTTAGTATTTCGCTCTTTGCTTAAAGGAGAGTTAGTCAGATTTCTGTTTACACATCCAAAAAAAGGCTGTATTTGCATCACATCCAGTCAGAGGTGCACTTTTAATAAGAATTTATCGCTTCTCATATCGTCATCATGACATCCAACAGCTTTATCGAGCATCGCAATTTATGTCAATATCGTGCAGCCCTGATTAATAGGTTAACATCAGTCCTCTGCCTCTTTGCCCTCCTTCATCGCCATGCCCAGGAGAAGACAGCAACAAAGACGGCCAGTAAAGGAGATGAGCCAACTGTTTGTTCCAGTGTTGAGGAAAATGCTGAAAGACAAAAAGATAAGGTGTGGTTAGACATGCTGCAGCGACAGACAGTCAGATCAAGTCCTCTCATTCACTGCCTTCCTCTCAGATCACTTCCTTCCTACAAAACAGACGGATTCCATCTTATTTTATGAATAGAGAGAAAATCTGTGAGTCATAAAACTCGAATGACTCGTCACTTTAATAACAATGATAAAATGCACAATTCATCAATGATTATTTTATTTGTAGATTTGTAAGAAATCACAATGAACAACACTAGTAATAATAATAATAATAATAATAATAATAACAATTCGCCATATTATTCGTTTTATCATTTTGTTGTAACAATTTAAATGATAACAGTAGTAAAAATTAAATTTTGTACAAGAGCAAAATAATAACTATGATATTAAAAATAATGAGTTATTATTATTATTTATTTTATATATATTTTACACAGGGTGACACAGGAGCCTGAGTGGGTGCTACATCAATAAATATGACACACATTGTTCATAATGTGGGACATGCCAGCGCCATCCTCTCTCCTATAGAAGCCCAAGAGACGAAACTGTTTATTTGAAAACAGCCACTAGATGGTGCTGCGGTAGCGCACAACAGAATAAAAGAAGCTAAACATACATCACTTCTGTTCAATGAGACTATGCCGATGAGACTGTTATATTTAGCAAGCGACCCAGATGATAGAATTAAACTTAGCAAGATTGAAGACTGTATACAAGACATAAAGGACTGGATGTCGAGTAACTTTCTCCTTCTAAACTCGGATAAAACAGAGGTTCTTCTTCTTGGTCCAAAAGCAGCTCGAAACAAACTGTCTAATTTAACACTTAAACTTAACAATTTCTCAGTTGCATCAAGCTCATCTGTAAAAAACCTTGGTGTCATTATAGACCCTGATCTGTCCTTCGACACACATATAACTAATATTACTAGAACAGCCTTCCTGCATCTCCGCGATATTGCTAAATTGAGAAATGCATTCTCTCTACAGGATGCAGAAAAGTTAGTTCATGCATTTATTACTTCAAGGCTAGATTACTGTAATGCCCTGCTGGCTGGATGTCCCAGCAAAAGCCTTAACAAGCTTCAGTTGGTCCAGAACGCTGCAGCCAGAGTCCTTACAAGAACCAGAAAGTTTGACCATATCAGCCCAGTTCTATCAGCCTTACACTGGTTACCAGTAAAATTTCGGATTGATTATAAAATTCTCTTGCTGACTTATAAAGCTCTAAACGGACTCGCCCCTCTGTACCTGAGTGAACTTCTCTCTCGCTATGAACCATCACGCCTGCTTAGATCACAAGGTGCTGCTCACTATTAGTACCCAGAATTAATAAAGTTACGTCAGGGGGGAGAGCTTTCTCATACAGAGCCCCCCAGCTTTGGAATAATCTTCCTGTTAATGTTCGGGACTCAGACAAAGCCTCAGTCTTTAAGTCTAGGCTAAAAACTTACTTTTATAGTCGAGCCTTTGGTAATTAGTTTTCCCTGTTAGTTCTATACCTGCCAGAGTCTCTGCTAACACTGTAATTTGTGATTGGTCACCCATTACAGAACTGACTCTGTGTGTTTTCCTCTCTGTGTGTTCTCCTTTCTTTTCTTCGCTGAGTTGAACAGCTGCCCATCCTGTGCGTCTCATGCTGCTGCCTTTTCTGCCTCGATCGGGTGCCACTGCTCGCCAGCCCTCTGGACCAGGTTACCAACATTGAGCCTCCTGCTGTACAACGCCGTGCAAACCTCACCCTCACAACCTGACCCCACTGATGCTGCTGCTGCTGCAGCATGAACTGAACTATTCAAATTAACTGTTTCCTTCACCTTTACCCTGTTTTGTACTATAATACTTTATACTAACAATGTTTACTATCCGGTGTCGACCAGAGGAGGATGGGTTCCCCTTCTGAGTCCTGGTTCCTCTCAAGGTTTCTTCCTGTTTCTCTTAGGGAGTTTGTCCTTGCCACTGTCGCCACTGGTGACACTCATGGGGGCTCGGACCCGGATTCCTTTTTGTAATGCCCATTTCCTTGTAAAGCTGCTTTGTGACCTGTTGTAAAAAGCACTATATAAATAAACTTTACTTACTTACTTACTATTAAAACACTGCATTGACAGTAACACATCCTGTACTTGTACGACTTCTATGCCAGTCAAATTTATTATTATGAACTTTATTTTTTTCTTATTTTCTTTTAAGAGCTGTGTTCCTTGTTTATATGTGGATGTATGTATTGTCCTTTATTTGAACAGGTTTAGTATAAACCGGTATGTTTAAAATATCCAAGAGGTAATTGGAGCTGTACATTTGCCCCATACATGACTGTTTTAATAAAGGTAAAATCAAATAATAAAAATAATAATAAAACAGAACCTACAGACAATATGGCTGAGAAGAAAGAGGCGAGGAATCAAAGAAAACAATGTTTGGTAATAAACTGTAAAAGTTACCAGTGTAACAGTAAAAAAAATGCCTTTCACTATTTCCACAAAGACCCTGACAGGTAATTACTCAAGTCTTTTCAAGTGGGAGCTTTTCAAGTCATCAGAATTTATGAGAAGCACTAATATTTCTATGCAAGTTCAGTTTCTGTCTGACTTTCAGATGTTCAAATGTGTGTAAGCATTTAATAAAATCACTGGACTATTTAAAGAAAGTCAACATTCAGTATTCATCCAAACTCCATCATCAGTTGTAATTACAATATGCTTATTCATTATATTTCTCATTGTTCAACACAGGCCATTTCAGTGGAGGTGTTAAATATACGGCCACAGAGTAGAAAGAATGTAGTTTTACACTTTTGTGTAAACAACAAACAAAACGGCCAGTGAAGGAGATGAGCCATACTGTTTGTTCCAGTGTTGAGGAAAATGCTGAAAGACAAAAAGATAAGGTGTGGTTAAACATGCTGCAGCGACAGACAGTCAGATCAAGTCCTCTCATTCACTGCCTTCCTCTCAGATCACTTTCTTCCTACAAAACAGACGGATTCAGTTAGTTTTATTTTAAGAATAGAGAGGAACGAAGTCAAATTAATAGTTAACCAACTGGTGTCTACAGCCTTCCAATGAGCATCCAAACACAGGATCACCGCCTGGAGGCGTTATAAAGATGGCACTTACACCAGTCAGCCATAACATGCCAAACATCCTTGTTTCTACACTCACTGTCCATTTTATCAGCTCCACTTACTATATAGGTGCACTGTGTAGTTCTACAGTTACAGACTGTAGTCCATCTGTTTCTCTGATACTTTGTTAGCCCCCTTTTACCCTGTTCTTCAGTGGTCAGGACCCCCATGGACCCTCACAGAGCAGGTACTATTTGGGTGGTAGATCATTCTCAGCACTGGTGTGTGAGTGTGTGTTGGGCTGGTCTGAGTCGATCAGACACAGCGGTGCTTCTGGAGTTTTTATATGTCACTGTCGTCGGATGGAAACCTCATATCTCCAAAATGGTAACTTTACAGGAGAAGGAAAATACTTACTTCACCATTAATGTAAGTCAATGGAACCAGACATCTTTCCAAATTGTTTTGGGTCATTTCTTTTGGTCCATTCTTCATGAAACAGGCCTTTTCAAATGATGTCAAAAAACAACAATATATATATATAAATTATACACACACACACACACACACACATATATATATATTCTGGATATATATATATATATATATTCTTAAAAACTGGGCACACCACAGTGGATGGCAAGTTAGACAGGTAAGTTATGCGTGCTATGTTAGCTTGCGCTTGGTTGTTAGTTTTCTCAATGTAAGGTTCTATGACAAACACAGAGACCCTGGTTGATGGGGGGCAGTTTCTTAAAGCCTTGTGGGTGAGGCAGAAGTGGGCGGTATGGGGAAAAAAACTTACATCACAGTATAATTAAGATTACAGGCGGTTTCAGTATATATCAGGGTATAGCATATTTATGTATATTTATTTCAAATAAAACAATTCTCAATGCATGAGTAAACATTTCTGGTGGTTTAAACATGGTGTAAATCTAAAATGATTCTATTGGGCGGAATAATAAAAACAGAAATGAACAGTATAGATGTCAATATTGCTTTGTAACCCTGAGATAAAGACAAGTGTATGTAAAGGCCACAGCCACTTCTCTGAGCAGAAAGAGTGCTGAAATGTTGTTTTGCGTCTAAACAGTCATTTGTCTCATATGTGAGCCAAACACATGACTTTTAATCTACGGCCATCAGGCGCCGCTGGAATTCAGCACATTCCACAGCCGTTCACACCATCAGAATCTGCGGAGCCTGTAGGCCGAAACCGTGGCGTTGCCTGAAGGAGCTGGCAGAGTGACAAGCACAATAGGTGGGGCACACGGAAAGCTCGCTAGTCTCCACGCTAGGCTAACGGCTAATGGCTAAAACCAAGAGACTGGCTTTACCTTCTACTCTCTTTTCTCCCATTAACTCATTACTGTTTGTTGTCTAATCTAATCCTAATCAATCTAATCCTTTGACAATAAGGGTTCTTTTAGCATTACAGAGCCTTACCAGTCTTTTGTTGCCCCCGTCCCAACTTTTATTAAATCTGTTGTTGGCATCAAAAAAAACAATAAAATTACTTAGTTTTAATATTTGTATGTTGTCTTCGTACTATTTTCAATTAAATATAGGGTTTAAATGATTTGCACATCACTGCATTTTGTTTTTATTAACATTTGCACAGCGTCCCAACTTTTCTGGAAACTGAGCTGTATATTGAGGCCACAAATTCATATATTGAGGCAACAAATTAATATATAGAGGACATGCGTTATAAGAATCTTAACTCAAGGCTTCAATATATTAATTTGTGGCCTCAATATAGTAAGAAATACATGAATAAACCAGACTACTTACCCATCAGAAAGATGAAACCACTGAAAAGCGCAGATCATGGACAGTGAAAGTGCATGGCCACTTCTGTTAGCCTTACAAAAAGGAATAATGTCTTCAAGTACCTGAAAAACAAACGCTGCTATTAACATGAAGCATATAGACTCACTGAATTCAAATTCTACCAAGATGAACCTCATTAGTGCAGGAGAAAGGAAAGTGAACAATTTGACTGACCTGATTTGGAAAAGATGGTGAAATGGTCAGCTGAACCAACTGTGTATTAAAATAACTAAGAATATTAACTGTATGTCGTTGTTCTCGGGAGAAAACCTCGTATCTCCAAACTGGTGACTTCACAGGAGAAGGAAGAAACCTATTTCACTTTTAATGTAAGTCAATGGAACCAGACGTTTTTTGGGTCGTTTCTTTTGGTCCATTCATCATGAAATTTACACACAATGTAAAGAACAACAGGCATTTTCAAATTATGCCAAAAACTGAAAAACATCAAAAATGGAGATGCGAGGTTTTCCTCCGACAGCAGTGATATATTTTGGCAGACTGTTTGTAGTGTAGAAAGACAGTAATTGCATAATGTTGACCATGTTTCTGATCGTGGTTGTGCGACAGTTTGAAGCCTGATGGAGCTGAAGCTACAGTTTAAAAGGATTCCCCTTTCGTCCACAGTCTACATGTCCTCTGGAGCTTTAAAGAGGAACACCATCGATTTTATTTGTTTCCCCTTAAATAAAAGGTTGAGGTGTTAACAGAGTCTTTCAGAGTGGTTTGGTGTGAAACGCTCTGTTCTAGATAAACTGTGAGTTCTCAGTGGTGGTGATAGGAACCAGAAAGTTCTTTTACAAACACATTACTTGACACCTTCCTTCAACCCACACGAGCTATAGGTATCGTCTGTATGTAAATGAAATCTTCCTGATGCTTCACTGGGTAGATTCTGTAAAATAAGTGTTTAGAGCTCTAAACGGCTTTAAATCACCTGCGGAGCTCAAACACTGTTTCTGTTCTAATATGCGATCTTAGATTTGCAGATACCTCTCTGTTATTGTGCTTCTAAACTGTTAGAAAGTTAAGCTCAGTACACAATTTTAATAAACATTTGAAAACATCTCTTTTTTGTGGGGGGTCTTTGTGATTTGATCGATGTCGCTGCTTAATATGATTTTTATTTAATACTCAGAATGTCTTCTATTGTGGTTAAGCTTTATCAAATGGCTGAAAAGCATCTGAGCTGCCACCGCTATGAAAGTTTGAAAACTTTATTTACAAATGAATTATGAAAGGTGCTCTATAAATAAATAAACTTTATAGAGCACCTTTCATAATTCATTTGTGAATAAAGTTCATCATTTGGACTATTGTCTCATAATAATGATCTTGAAATTTTATTTAATTGAAATTTAATTTTAAGTTTTTTTTGAGAAAACAAGTCATTAGATCAGATATCGGATCAAATCATTGTATAAACAAGTCACTAGTTCAGATATTGGATCAAATTATTGTATAAACAAGTCACTAGTTCAGATATTGGATCAAATTATTGTATAAACGAGTCACTAGATCAGATATTGGATCAAATTATTGTATAAACAAGTCACTAGTTCAGATATTGGATCAAATTATTGTATAAACAAGTCACTAGTTCAGATATTGGATCAAATGATTGTGTAAACAAGTCACTATTTCAGATATTGGATCAAATGATTGTGTAAACAAGTCACTATTTCAGATATTGGATCAAATTATTGTGTAAACAAGTCACTATTTCAGATATTGGATCAAATTATTGTATAAACAAGTCACTAGATCAGATATCAGATCAAATCATTGTACAAACAAATCACTATTTCAGATATTGGATCAAATTATTGTAAAAACAAGTAATTGTTTCAGACACTGAATCAAATTATCATATTTATTACCAACTTACTTAACCTGTAGAGGACTGCACTTGTTTTCATGTAGAAAATCAAAAAACATGGAATTTGCCCAAGGACTCCAAACGTTTTGCTCACAATGATGCAAACAACATGCATCGCTCAACAGCAGCAATGCCCAAATCTAACACTGTGTGGGGAAACTAGGTCATGTTAATGTTAGGTCATGTTAGGTCACTGTGTGAGACATACCGAGTGTGGCGTGAGACACTTCCTGTCCTGTGGACATGCAGGCACTGAACATAGTCTCAGTCAATCCATTAAACCACCTTTCAAGAGACTTTTGTTTGCTTGAGAGTCTTTTTTAAACTTCTAATTTCTCCACTCACCTGTTTCTATAAGAGAGAGCAAAGTTTTCTAGCGAACATCTCTGAAAAACGTCAAGCGGTTTTCAAACGCAGTTCATTTTCTAAAGTCTGGCATTTGGGTTTTTGTGATGTTCTGTCTTTTCCTTTTGTTTTGGTTGGTTTTACACTGCACAACACTGGGACAAGTAAAACACAACGCTAAGACAGCAGCACAACAAAAAAAAAATCACTTTCCTGGTTGGGCCAGTTTATGTTAGGGTTTGAGGCACAGTGTGTTAACAACAACATAACTGAGGCCAAAGTCAATTCACTTGAATACCTTTCCTTATCTATTCACGCGTCCAGTCAAAATAAATCAGTGGGATTGTTTGTTGACAAAGAACATCAGAGCGAGGCCGCGCAGCAATGTCGGTGAAGCACAAAGACATAGCGAGGCGAGTCAGCAGCCTCATTCCTTCTTAGAAAACTCAGTTTTCACATGTTGACTTTAACCCACGTCTGGACTGTCGGACCGTTGGACATATGCCATCATGATCCTTGTGGATCATATGCCGCTGTGATTCAAAGTTCCACGCTACCGAAACCTACAGGGGGCTACACTTTGATATCTGATCAAATCTGGTTATTTTTATCATAATGAAATCAAACACTGGGCCATTACGCTCTATAAACACCTTATCAGCAAAGCACAGAAGCTGTTCAGGTGTCACTTCAACCAGCATAAAGTCACACGTTTATAGAGCTGTTATTCTCTACTTCTAGTCCCGTTATAACACATGATGGTGGAGGCTACTTTTTAAGGAAGCGAACCAAGACCCTGATGCTTTGGTGCGGATGCGAATGCGGGTGGAGGGTACGCAAGTCAGAAAGGGCCGAACTAATATTCAAATGTTCATTTAGTCAGAGACGAGAACGATCGATCAGCTATGTATCAGTACTTTCAGCCCAAATATGTGAGCTTATTTACAGTTTTTACAGATGACAAAAAAGGGACATACATTTTTAAAAAACGAACTTACATTTTTAAAAAACGAACTTACATTTCGCTGTTGTTGGAAGAAAACCTGGTATCTCCATTTTTGACGTTTTTCACTTTTTGACATGATTTAAAAATACCTGTGGTTCTTGAATCGACTAAAAGAAACGACCCAAAATGACTCAGAAAAAAGTCTGGTTCCATTGACTTACATTAAAAGTAAAGTATGTTTTTTCCTTCTCCTGTAAAGTTGCCATTTTGGAGATACGAGGTTTTCTTCCACCAACAGCGATATATTGATACTAAATGGACAACATGATGGTGAGCATGTTCCAGCGACTGTATTTAACCACAGTTCATGCGCTGCTTGGTAATAAGAGGAGCAGTAAGCAGAAGCAGAGCTTCAAAGCCTCTTGTAAGAGAAATTGTGAGTCCCCATGTTGTCTTTTTTGTAAAATGAGACGTCCACAGTGTATGCACCGTCACAATGCTGAACAGATATAAAAGGTTTCAGAGGGTTTAGACAGAAAAACGCTTCAGACTTGTGAAGGTCTCACTACAATAAAATCACATCCGTTTTTTCTCATCCAGTGTGAACAGGCCTTAACAGTCCAGGCCTTAACAGTCCAGGCCTTAACAGTCCAGGCCTGCCCGCGATCGGTATTGGCCCCAAAAACACTGATCGTTCCACCTCACTGAACACTAACTCACACAGTCTTTACTATTTAGGGTAGAATTTACTGATTCTACCTTAATAACATTTTACTGAATAAAAAAAAAACTATACCTTTGAGGACTACAGTTTCAGGGTGACCCTGGGCTTTGTTTCCATGGTAACAGAGGTATACTCCCTCATCAGATGACCCGAACATGGAGACGTTAAGGGACAGATCACCATCTGTATATCTGCTTGCTGAAACCGATGCTCTCTGAGCCATAGGAAAGTTTCCTCTGCCGAACCTTCACGACAGGTTTTCCACCTTTTTCCCACCAAATCAGGACAGCATTCCCGTCAGTGCCCTCGTCAGTGCGGGCGCAGCAGGGCAGAGTCACCTTCTCTCCAACAGATACGCTGATGAAAACGGGAGCTTAAGAAAAGAAAGTAATGACAGTGTGGAAATCAGTTGGTTTACATGGTGGTTGGTGTATATATTTACATATATTCTTGGAATTTAGAATTTCTGATGCTCTGAACTAAAGCCGAGGTGGGTAGTTGGGGTTCTGGGAGAGAGCCCAATTGTCTGCGGGCCATAACTCCCTCCTCGTCCCTGAACTTGCAAAATCCTTTGCTATGCCTTTTTACGTTTGAACGCCCCAGTCAAATACCATGTTTTACTGATTTTCTCATGATTAGTTAACACATCCTCTACTGGGAACAGGCTTAGGCCCCTGTTACGTCCCTAGGACGTACGTTTTGTTTTGCTTGCTTCTCTTTCGTTCTCTCTCTCTCTTTCTCTCACTCTCACTTATCAGGAACCCGCCCACTCGTGCATCTTTGACGGCTGCGCCGGATGTCCTCGAGGCTTTCCTCCATGGCGGGTTGGGCGATTGTTTTTAGATCTGAACCGCAGCTCAGCAGATGCTTGTTGTATGACTAGTGTATTGTCTGTCCTCGTCTCAAATGTAATAGCTTAGCTTTACCCCTTGTTCTCTGCCAGTTGCCTCTACTGTGCAGCAGTAAGCTCATGA